TCATCGATCCCAATTGCGTGGATGTAAATCACCGAATTGTCTAGTCCAGACTCGATTATTTACAGACCGCCGTCATATAGCTGGAATATTGCTGGGTGCGGCGTTAAACAACAAACAAATAAACAAACCAAATCATATTATGAGACATCCCAAAACGATTATTTGTCCCCATCACTGGGACTCATCACTCAGCACTTGGAACATCAAGTATTCTTATTTCTTCGCATATAACCATAATCATTCCGCTAAACATTTGATGAAATATGTAACCTACTACTGGAGGAAGACCTTGTTTGCCAGCCTTTGGTGTCGGCATTTAACAACGTTCTACTCACATTTTGAAATTGGTAATTTGACTCTGGGTTACAGCAATCAAGACCTTAAAACACGATTTCAAAACGTTTTGTGATGGACATGTGGAGGTCATTTCCATATTTAACGCATCATTCACCAAAATAATATCCTGACTTTGTTCAATTGATATTGTCGGAATCGTACAATGGATTGTGATTATGAAAAGGGGTTTACTGCTTTTATTTAAGTTGTGAATTGGAGGGGTAGTTTGATGATATTTGCCAATCTCAATATATTCAAATGTCGATTCTACCCAGGTATCGTACTTTTTTTAAGCATGAGGTGTTTATAACATGACGTCCTATTTAAATGGGCTTGATTCTAACATTGTTTGTGAAATACATGGGAAAGACCATGAACAGCTTGAACACATATCCCATCATGTATGAGAATAATCATCGACATGATTTATTGCATATGATATTGTCTTAAAGTCCATTTACAAACGATAAATCGTCTTTATAACAATTTAAAAAACAACTCTATCTATCATTGTACTTGAAATCTTGAGTTTGTTATCAGCGTAGTCTTTGTAGGACTTCATCAAAATATTCTTGCTGAAAGTTTATGAAAAAGTAACGTCCATACATTTGTGAAATAGGGTACATACATGTACACTGAAGAAAGTTTATGGTGAACATTTATGATTGTTGAAAAACCCTGATGCTTTCATACAACGTTTTTTTGTTTTTTTTTGTTTTAAGGGCAAGTTCACACGGAAATTAACCTATTTTTCTTGTACTTTTTCCACATTAAAAGTGTTAACCTAGAAGTGTCATAGACAAAAATATAAAAATATCACAATTAATTAACATATTTTTCGCATTAAAACGATTTATATTTTTCACATTTACCAAGTGTCTATTTCCACAACAAAAACACCATGGCTTATGCCCCTTGCAATATGACGTCATTGGTGCCAATTGATAAACATTATGACGTCATCATGCTTTGTTAGAGCCGCTTCACGTGGTGTAGGTCTAGGTGTGTGATTCTAGCGTCTCAGATGCCAGCCAGCATAGTGTTATGCTGAGTCACCACTGCGCCGGAGTGTGTCGTAGGCCATGTTGTTTTACCGCAAACTGGTACTTGATATCTTTTGCGTTGAGAATAGACAGGGACCCAGTTGAATTGGCACCAATTACGTCATAATCTAAGGGGGATAACTCAGGCCTGTTTAGCTCGAAAAACGAAGGCCTCATGACGGCATATCATTTTCACACTATTGTGAGCTTCCTACTTTCACTGTGAAAAAAATGAGTGTATATTTTCAAATACAGATACTAATTAATTCTAAAATTGCGTTTTGTTTAGAAAAAGAAAGAAAGTGATTTTTGCGTGTACACTCAGCAATATTTCAGCTATATGATGGGGGTCTGTAAATAATCGAGTCTGGACCAGACAATCCAGTGATTGACACCATGAGCATCGATCCACGCATTTGGGACATGATGACATGCATCAACCACCCGATCCCGTTAGTCGCCCCTAAAGACAAGCATAGTCGCCTGTTACGGCATGTATGGGTTGCTGGAGACCTATTCTACCCCGGACCTTCACGGTTGTGAAAATAAATTCCATGCATTTATTACATTATGTTGAGACACTGTAGATAGTTTATGGTGAAAGTTTATGAAAAATATATAAAAACAGACTGATGCATATCCTATATAGTCTATTAACATTCCTCTTATTTGATAGAACACCCGTATACCCGGACGTTTATAAGCTAAGTGGAAGATCCACTGGCGGTTACGTTCCTTGGATAAGATAATTGTTTGGCCCTGAAATCGTATTATCTTAGATCGCGAGGGCGAAACATTGAAGTGTTTTCTGATACGCGAGATTTAGGGATATTTGCTGGTTACACTAAAACATGAAGTTTGCAATCAGTTACTAACTAGTGAGTAAGTGAGTTTGGTTTAACGCCGTTTTTAACAGTGTTCCAGTTAATGTGGGAGGAAAGCCCGAAGTGATACAGGTGTGAGAAGTTTATCACTTTGGTGAAACCCACGAGCACGAGTAGGGTGCTGACAAACCTAGAAACATAATCGGGGCGAACCGGGATTCAAACCCACAATCATAGGTTTCTGGCGTGCCCAGGGGACGCAACTCTGCACAGCGAATCGCGGCGCCTTAGACGACTGGGCCACCCGTGCCCCCAGTTTCTAACTAAATTATGTTGAGACTCTGTAGAAAGTTTATGATGAAAGTGTATAAAAAATATATTCAATGCATTTATCAAATTGTTTTGAGACACTATGGAAAGCCTCTAAACAAATATTGACAGAGCAACATGTACTACATTTGTGTATGAACAGAATCTCTTCCTTATTTGATGTGGATCGATGTCGGGTATGAGCGACGAAGAGCCTGTTTCCGAACAAATGTTACTTCCGTATTATTTTCTCACATCGCCGACCGACACAGCTGCGGCTGTGCGCATACTTTTAAAAATGAACTTCATCTTCCGGAAGATATATCGCATGCAACACAGAAAGTCGATACAAATGTCAAGAATGTTTGTTTGTTAGTCTGTATAATATGCTACAACTTGTACAGAAGTATAACCTGATTTATACACGTGTTAACTATGTCAGTAATTGTTAATTTATAAAAGGAAATGCTGGTCCAAGGCCGTTAATGATGCCATTAAATATCATCGAGATAATGTATTTTATGTCCATCTTTATTCAAGACTTAGTATGTCAAGATATGTTAGTGTAAGATCAAGTAATGAACACTATCTCTGGAAACTAGCCTTGGATAGGTAGGACCACTAATATTGCAAGACTTGTATTTTATGGATCAGCTAAAATTGTTATTAGAGAATTCTATTATAAAACTTTTGCCAATGATATTGTAAAGCACGTGTTAATGTATTGTATAATCAATACGAATGATCGAAATTTGCTTTTTAACATTATACCCTCGACGTAAATGGTTTTGTTAAGATCTGGGAGAAAGACGATTTATAAGGAAATATCGACACCTGCTTAAATACTTGTATGTTCATGAACATGTATAAATATATGCCCAATTCATGTTAAAATGTAACTTAATTTTATCTGCATATTGTAATCTTAATTCAATTGGAGGAAATACAGTATATTGATCATGCATCCACCAAGTCAGCGAGCCTGACCACCCGATCCCGTCAGTTGCCTTATACAACTCCCATGGTTGCTGGGGACCTACATTCGTAACTGGAATCCCCACAGTTCTGGAGACCATGCAAGTACTAATAAAATTACTGGGACATCCTTTTCTAAAGTTAACAGCCAATCTGTATATCTTGCATCACTAAAGAAAGACAATCTGTCCCAAGTAAAATATGGGAAGTACAGACATACATGCATCATAATTCCGAACAAAGCCGATTCAACGTACTTCGCACGCTTCAACAGTAAGACTAACGACTGTATGGTTTATATCATATGGCATTTTGTTTACTTGCTTACCGAATGAACAAATTAGTATTGATACATTGAATTACTGCGTTATTGCTTGGTTGCTGAATATTACAGATCTTGGCATTGAATTCTCGATGTAAACATGGAATTCTGTGATTTGATGCTAAACTATCACAGATGCCGAGAGTACTTTATCCTGCGATGTTGGAAGGGAAACATATTACAGTGCATATTTATAACGTTTATCAGCATTATATACATTCATGACATTCAATGTAATAGCTATTCCGACCCGTGAAGATCCTGGGTAGAATAGGTCTTCAGCAACCTATACTTGCCGTAAAAGGCGACTATGCTTGTCGTAAAAGGCGACTAACGGGATCAGGTGGTCAGGCTCGCTGACTTGGTGGATGCATGTCATCGATCCAAATTGCGTGGTTCGATGCTCATGATATCGATCACTGGACTGTCTGGACCAGACTCGATTATTTACAGACCGCCGTCATCTAGCTGGAATATTGCTGAGTGCGGCGTAAAACAACAAATAACAAACAAACAACTAATAGCCATTCTTTATTCGAACGAGCGCGTATTCTGCGTCAAGTCTAAATTTGCCAGAAGGCCGCAAAAATCATGTTGTGCACAATGCACTATCTGACTGTCTTTTGTTTCAAGGTATTATCTATATACGTAATTCATTATATATTCTAGTTCAATCTGTTGTATTAATAATCTGTCGTGCTTTAAAAGTTTCAGTTATAACATTCAAGGAGGAATGGTGTGGTATTATGGATAAAACAAAAATAGACAGCGAAAAATATTAGAGTATAAGCATTTGCGCCCGGGACCATGAATCTAATAAGTGTCATAAATGGGTCAATTAGTTTCGCAAATATACACGTGTATCCTATCAGCTCCGTGCAATACTGATAGTTGTGTGCTATGACGAGATGAATGGTTACTGTTTTCTATTTAACAGCAGCAAAGTGTACCGACAACCAGGAGTGTTCAGACTGCGACAACACAGGACAATGTACAACCGGATGTCACACTGGATATTACGACCTGTTCTGTAGATCAAAATGTAACACGGCTTGCAAGAATAATGCGTGTAAGGGGACTGGGTCAGGCATTGAGGTGTGCACCGAAGGCTGTATAACTGGTTATGATGGCAAAAACTGCAAGATTAAATGTGAGAATAATTATACACTAAACGATACGTTTTGTCATGAGGTGTGCAAACAATACTGTCGTTTGAAATCCAACACAAATAACACAATCAGATGTCTGGCCAATGGTGCAAATGCTTCAATGTTTTGTACATCTGAGTGTCACAGCCAGAGTGGCGAGTGTCTCCATGGCTGTGTAGGAGGCTGGTATGGTCCACGGTGCTCCTCTCCATGCAGTGCAGGTTGTAGTGGTGGCAGGTGTGATGCTGCAGGTGCGTGTGTGGACGGATGTAGACCTGGGTATTTCGGGAGAGACTGTCAGCCCTGTGACCGCTGCAGGAATCACACCTGTAGCTCACACAACGGGTCCTGTGTGGACGGATGCATCACAGGGTATTATGGGGAGTTTTGTAATCACAGCTGTGAGGTTTGCCTTGAGGGGATCTGTGATCAGATGACTGGCGCATGTGTCAACGGATGTGACGTCAGCGGACGTGGATGTAAACCTTCCTGTACCAGCAACTGTTCCAGGGACTATTGTCTTCATGCACAGACATGTGATACAGGTACTCGAAATACTTGTCAAAACAAACATTATCATTTAAACTAAAGTGATGGTTTGAATAAACAAATGTTTGTTACATGTGTAAACTTCATTATTTTTTAATATTATTTGTATCTTTCTATATCTACCACCAATCCATCTACGATCGATCCATCAACCAATCTTAACACCAATCCCTCTACCCACCAACGTATCGATTCATCAGCCCATCTACCCTATCAACTCATTCATCCATCGACCAATCATAATATCATTCCGTCTATCCACCAACCCATCTATCTACCAGCCTAGCTAACCATCAACCCATCTTAAACACATCAAACTAGCGACCCACCTACTCATCAACTCATCTATTTACCAACGAATCTAACACCAGCCCATTCAACTACCATCCATCCTACTCACCTACTCACCAAACCACCAACCCAACCCGATGTCTTCACGAAGTTTCCCTGCATTATTTTTATACTGCTATGATTCCTCCGCAGATTCCAAGTCCAATGGTGTCAACATCGGACTCCCGATAGGCTGTGTGGTGTTCATCCTTGGTGTCCTGGTGTCAAACTACATCTGCTACAGGAAGGGTTTTGCTGCAAGAAGGTTGGTGACCAGATAATGCTATCATTTTTCCACACGGATATTGAATGAATTTATATGTATTGCTATTTTAGGGCACTTAATACTTCTTGGGTACATTTTTATATTGTTTTAACTTTGTGAATATTGGTATTGCTAAAGTTTTCGGGGGAGGGGGCATACAGGTCCTCACAAGAACAGGTGTGTTACTGAGAAGTAGTGCTGTTCATTGTTCTGAATGGGATTCGAAGGCACCTTCTGGGACGTTGATTATCTAAGTCCAGCCTTAAACCTACTCGTCCAAGGACACGTTCAGGGAAGTGACGATACATTTAACCGTCATGCTACTGCTGAACAACCCGTCGGGATTCTGGGTTGGACATTGTCCCTCGCAAGAGGTGACTTTACCGGATCGGGTGGTGAGGCTCGGTGATTTGTCTGATGGCGAGTAACAGCGCCCACCGACGGCGTAGATCGTTGCTCAGATCAATGTCTGGCCAAGACTCGATTATATACAGGCCGCCGTCATGTAGCTTTAATTGAGAGCAGCGTTAAATAACACACGCACATTTCACACGCGAACACATTCTTGCATTGCCGTTTAAGAGAACTATGTACTCATCCCAAAGGCAAATAAAGGCGACACAGCAGAATGTTCATTGTACGATTCCGACAATATCATTACCTTTCACTTGTAATATTGTACTTGCAATGTCCAATTAAATTAAATTATAAACAATTGTAATTACAGAACAGACCAGGAAGACACACTTCCTTCAAGGGACACCACATCACGGGCCTCTCAACATATCTACTGCGACGTTGATGAGGGAGAAACGGGCCCAGTCATTGTGTTCCTATAGGAACAGAACAGGCCCGGGGAAAATATGTCTTTTTGATTCACACAGTTAGCTTATGAGTGTGTTTGCTTAACCCTGATGCTTTCATACAACGTTGTTTTATTTGTTTCTTGTTTAACGCCGCACTCAGCAATATTCCAGCTATATGACGGCGGTTTGTAAATAATCAAGTCTGGACCAGACAATTCGGTGATTGACACCATGGGCATCAATATACAGGTTGGGATATGATGACATGCATCAACCAAGTCAGCGAGCCTGACCACCCGATCCCGTTAGTCGCCTCTTACGACAAGCAAAGTTGCCACTCACCTCAAGCATGGGTTGCTGAAGACCTGTTCTACCCTGGATCATCACGGGTCTTCAAACAACGTCCGAGGATCTATTACATACATTTTAACTGCCCTCACCAGTATGTGAGATGGCTTTTTCAGTTTAATTGTGGAATTTATGTGGAGGGAAGCCTAAGTAGTGTAGGTCGTAGACGTTCGTCACCTTGGATACGGTGCAGATCACGGAATACAATGTGGAAACACGTGAGAATCTAAACAGCAACATGCAGATCCTAGCTAAGGGACACAACTCTTCTCTTTGAATCGCAGCACATAAACCACCAAACCATACGTGTCTGTCGTTGTCAACCAGACTTCCAGTGGTTAGTGATATTCCAAGTTGACGATGAGCTTCTGTGACTTGATTAAAGACACGCGCTCGGGTTGTTGCCTTCAAACCAAGAATCACTGTCATGGTGTATTCTAATCCATGGGTGAGTGAGTGAGTATGGTTTAATGCCGCTTTTAGCAATATTCCAGCAATATGACGGCGGGGGACACAAGAAATGGGCTTCACACATAGTACAAATGTCAGGAATCGAACCAGGTCTTCGGCGTGACGAGCGAACCACTAGGCTACCCGACCGCCCCTCTAATCCATGATAAGTTTGCTTGCTGGACAAATGGACACTAAGCTACACAGCAAATTGTCGACCCGCCATCAGTGCCTCAAACACCTTTCATCCTTGTAAACGTCGTGATATAACTGGAATAATGTTAAAAGCGGCGTTAAACCCAACTCACTCACTCACTAACTCATCCTTGTAAATACATGTAGATGTACATAATTTGATGTTGCGCTGAATGTTATTTGAATAAATTCCAAATACAATATTGTTATTTGGGGGTAAACTCATTTGTGTTGAAGTCATCATTGATTTAGTACTTAAGATATCATACACAACTTTAACCCCTAACGCAGTACGAATGATGAAAACATTATATGCCGCAAACAAATAACTATAAAAGGTTGATGGAAAAGCAGAATCAGGGTACTCAGGATGTAAGCAATGTTTTCTTCCTTCGTTATTGGCTACACAAACGAAAGTTGATTGGATGGATGGTTTGTTGTTTTACAACGCACTCAGCAATATTCCAGCTAATCGAGTCTGGACCAGACAATGCAGTGATTGATATCATGAGCATCGATCCACGCAATTGTGATCGATGACATGCATCAACCAAGTCAGCGAGCCTGACCTCCCGATCCCGTTAGTCGCCTTTTATGATTGGATGTTTTGTTTGTTGTTTAACGCCGCACTCAGTAATATGTAAGCTATATGACGGCGGTCTAGAGTGAACAATTCACTGATTAACATCATGAGCATCAACCCACGCATTTGGGGAAATACTGACGTGAAATCAACCAAGTCACCGAACCTGACCATCCGATTCACTACATAGGTAGCTAGGGATGTATACCATCCGATTCACTACATAGGTAGCTAGGGATGTATACCATCCGATTCACTACATAGGTAGCTAGGGATGTATACCATCCGATTCACTTCATAGGTAGCTAGGGATGTATACCATCCGATTCACTACATAGGTAGCTAGGGATGTATACCATCCGATTCACTACATAGGTAGCTAGGGATGTATACCATCCGATTCACTACATAGGTAGCTAGGGATGTATACCATCCGATTCACTACATAGGTAGCTAGGGATGTATACCATCCGATTCACTTCATAGGTAGCTAGGGGTCTATACCATCCGATTCACTACATAGGTAGCTAGGGATGTATACCATCCGATTCACTACATAGGTAGTTAGGGATCTATACCATCCGATTCACTACATAGGTAGCTAGGGATGTATACCATCCGATTCACTACATAGGTAGCTAGGGATGTATACCATCCGATTCACTACATAGGTAGCTAGGGGTCTATACCATCCGATTCACTACATAGGTAGCTAGGGATGTATACCATCCGATTCACTACATAGGTAGCTAGGGATGTATACCATCCGATTCACTTCATAGGTAGCTAGGGGTCTATACCATCCGATTCACTACATAGGTAGCTAGGGATGTATACCATCCGATTCACTACATAGGTAGTTAGGGATCTATACCATCCGATTCACTACATAGGTAGCTAGGGATGTATACCATCCGATTCACTACATAGGTAGTTAGGGATCTATACCATCCGATTCACTACATAGGTAGCTAGGGATGTATACCATCCGATTCACTACATAGGTAGTTAGGGATCTATACCATCCGATTCACTACATAGGTAGCTAGGGATGTATACCATCCGATTCACTACATAGGTAGCTAGGGATGTATACCATCCGATTCACTACATAGGTAGTTAGGGATCTATACCATCCGATTCACTACATAGGTAGCTAGGGATGTATACCATCCGATTCACTACATAGGTAGCTAGGGGTCTATACCATCCGATTCACTACATAGGTAGCTAGGGATGTATACCATCCGATTCACTACATAGGTAGTTAGGGATCTATACCATCCGATTCACTACATAGGTAGCTAGGGATGTATACCATCTGATTCACTACATAGGTAGCTAGGGATGTATACCATCCGATTCACTACATAGGTAGCTAGAGGTCTATACCATCCGATTCACTACATAGGTAGCTAGGGATGTATACCATCTGATTCACTACATAGGTAGCTAGGGATGTATACCATCCGATTCACTACAAGGTAGCTAGAGATCTATACCATCCGATTCACTACATAGGTAGCTAGGGATGTATACCATCCGATTCACTACATAGGTAGCTAGGGGTCTTTACCATCCGATTAACGACATAGGTAGCTAGGGATGTATACCATCCGATTCACTACATAGGTAGCTAGGGATGTATACCATCCGATTCACTACATAGGTAGCTAGGGATGTATACCATCCGATTCACTACATAGGTAGCTAGGGATGTATACCATCTGATTCACTACATAGGTAGCTAGGGATGTATACCATCCGATTCACTACATAGGTAGCTAGGGATGTATACCATCCGATTCACTACATAGGTAGCTAGAGGTCTATACCATCCGATTCACTACATAGGTAGCTAGGGATGTATACCATCCGATTCACTACATAGGTAGCTAGAGGTCTATACCATCCGATTCACTACATAGGTAGCTAGGGATGTATACCATCCGATTCACTACATAGGTAGCTAGAGGTCTATACCATCCGATTCACTACATAGGTAGCTAGGGATGTATACCATCCGATTCACTACATAGGTAGCTAGAGGTCTATACCATCCGATTCACTACAAGGTAGCTAGGGATGTATACCATCCGATTCACTACATAGGTAGCTAGGGATGTATACCATCCGATTCACTACATAGGTAGCTAGGGATGTATACCATCCGATTCACTACATAGGTAGCTAGGGATGTATACCATCTGATTCACTACATAGGTAGCTAGGGATGTATACCATCCGATTCACTACATAGGTAGCTAGGGATGTATACCATCCGATTCACTTCATAGGTAGCTAGGGATGTATACCATCCGATTCACTACATAGGTAGCAAGGGATCTATACCATCCGATTCACTACATAGGTAGCTAGGGATGTATACCATCCGATTCACTTCATAGGTAGCTAGGGATGTATACCATCCGATTCACTACATAGGTAGCTAGGGATGTATACCATCCGATTCACTACATAGGTAGCTAGAGGTCTATACCATCCGATTCACTACATAGGTAGCTAGGGATGTATACCATCCGATTCACTACATAGGTAGCTAGGGATGTATACCATCTGATTCACTACATAGGTAGCTAGGGATGTATACCATCCGATTCACTACATAGGTAGCTAGGGATGTATACCATCCGATTCACTACATAGGTAGCTAGGGATGTATACCATCCGATTAACTACATAGGTAGCTAGAGGTCTATACCATCCGATTCACTACATAGGTAGCTAGGGATGTATACCATCCGATTAACTACATAGGTAGCTAGAGGTCTATACCATCCGATTCACTACATAGGTAGCTAGGGGTCTATACCATCCGAGGCGAGTAATTGGATCGGCTGGTCAAGCTCGCTGACTTGGTCGATGCATATCATCGTATCCCCATTGCGTATATCGATGCTCATGATGTCAGTCACTGGATCGTCTGTTCCAGACTCGTTTTGTGTGTGTTGATTGGTTTGTAAATATAGAGCCCGTCAGATGCGATTTAGATACTGGACAGAGGATGACCACAGTAGAAGTATGTGGAACCACTTTGAAACCAAGAATAACAAATCACGTGGAGGGATGGCATCATCGGCAGTCATCCAAATGTCAACACAATCACCGACATCCTGACACGAACGACCGTGTGTAGAGTCCTGCCATGTACGAGCCGGCGCAAGACCACTACAGCCATGTTGACAATAGATGAGCAGACTTTAAGGGTAGCCTTGACACTCGTGAAATGAAAGTTATTTTGTTTATTGCGAAGCTGTGTTCTGTTGATTGAGTTTGTAGCCATTCAAGAATGACCTCCCGTTGATCAGACCATATGCTTGGAGTCTGTCAAGAATAAATACGAGCTACTGCCAGATGGGATTTACGCAGTATATAGCAAAGCTAATCCCAAAATGTTGGGTAAATGTGCCAAAAAGCCATGAAAATAATCTTGGATAAGATCGTTTACAAGCGGTGAGATTCCACAATATCATCTCCCCAAAGCTGCATCCAGACAGCAACAAGTTGTCCATTTCATGTTTAGCAATGAAATAATGACAAGCTTTCAATTTCTCGAAACCAGGCGACACAGCTATACATGGCATCACAAACTGGAAGATACAAAAAATATTTAAAAAATTTGTTTGACGAGCGATAGACTGCAAAATTCAAACATCTTGTATGGCACTACCCAAGCGCCCCCTGTTACCAAGTTGTTCCCCATATTTGCCTACGTTAGAAGAACGTTATTTCGATGTTATTGAAATAAAATATCTCCTAGCCGCACCACGGTGAACAAACAACATAACACACATTCGACAGGTGTGCAGTACATCAATGAGACTTAAAAAACGTGCAGTCTAGAGGCCAAATGACATTAACACTTTCAGACGATTTACAACAGAATCTTTTACATAGCCACCCTTAGCATTGTCACTTTTCCAGTCTTGGGAGTCTTCATGAACATTAGCGGTTGCCATAACAGGGCACAGCTTACCCCCTAGGGGTTCTGCTTATCCGAAGCCAAACCTCATCTCTGCACATATCTGTCTTCGATTTGGCAATGAAAATTGTCATGTGAGTATGGAAGAAAAGAACGTCAGAACGTCTCAGGTTCAACAATTCAACAATTAAACACATTGATAGTATGTGTGTACCTATTAACCATCCAGTTTTCTAAAATGTCAAATTGAACTTGCTCTTTCTTACAAGCTGGTTAATAAAGCTAACGTTTCATTTCCTAAACACAGAAACTTATCCATAGGACGTGGCAATCAAATAATATAGTGAACGTGACAAATAATATAAAAGGCAGTTTGTAAGTGAGGAATGACAGCAACTAGATAAATGACACAGTGAAGACGTAGAACAGGGAGTTATAGCATTTGTCAACTTTTTATGACATATCCATACTTCTCCTTAAAAGATTCTGCTACGGGACGGTTAAAGCTATGATGTTAACATAAAGATATGACTACTCCATCGACACGAGCTATAGATCATCAGCAACCAAAGCTTGGCCACCTTTGGGACTTTTGGTACCTTGGCTACTTGCTTGGTACCCGAACATTATTTACACCATCCCTTCAGTTGGGCTATTCTCAGCAAGCATCATTCTATGATTAAAGTAATAGTAGGAAAAAGAAAAGAAACGCAAAACGGATCTTTTTTGGACATAAAAGAAATACATAGCTGACAAAGAGGTGCGCAATCAAGAGGTTGAATGTGTTATAGTGTCAGTGACAAATTTCCCGGTTAAAAATGATCACAACAACGACATGCAAACCACTAGTCGGGAAACACGTACGAATCGGAAAAACGCAGCCACAGCATTAACAAAAGGGCCATGGCCCTGCACGTACTGCATGTGCAGCAGCACTGTGAACGGTATTAAAGTGCAGGGATTTTGATTGCCTGGCATCTGCGTCAATCGAACAGTGACAGTTCAACAACATGCCAAGATTAACAGAAGTGCAAAGAAACAACGTCATAGGCCGCTACATCCGGCTGCGCCACCTACGTGAAAGGACGACCACAGCCACCTCAACCGCATCCTAAATACATGGACTGCGTAGAATCTCCGACCAGACCGTACGAAACCGTTTAAGAGCAGTAGGTATACGAGCAAAACATCATTGTCAACAACGACTGCGTCGGTGTCGTCAACACAGGGTATGGCCTCAACTGTGATGGTAAGAAGACTGGTTCAGCGACGAATAAAGATTTCTCCTCCGTCGAGGGGATGGAAGAGCACGGGTCTACAGCCGTCGGGGAGAACTTTACGTTGGAAGCTGCGTACAGGAAAGGGACAGGTTTGGTGGGGGTAGCGTTATGATGTTGGCGGATATCTCTCATCATAGCAGGACAGGTTTTGTCCATGTCCAGGGCAATTTTACGGCTCAACGAAACATCAACGTTGTTGTTCTTACATGTAAATATATATTCTCTGTCTCATAGCATTTATTCACCTGAAGAAGGAGTAAGCATATACTCCGAAACGTGGTGTTCCTCATAATAAAAAAGTTGACGTCCATAAATTATCGTCCTAAAACATTTCACTCTTTTACTTCTAGTTCAGGTAGGTAAGACACTGGAAGGGACTTAGATATTTGCCAGTCCGAGCAGAAATTCTGTTTCATATGCATGAAGTAATACATCAACAAGAAGGGGAGCACACATGGTGCCCATGGGGGTGCCATCTTTTTTTATTTAAAAGAAAGAAACCTACCACAAATCCAGATGTAACAGCAGCACGTCTGACTTCTGAAAGATAAGGGAGTACCTGTAGATTGTAAGGGATTTATTCGAATGAAGCGTTGTGGGATGTGAAGATCTCTACAATGTAGTTCGGATGGGCCCTAAAACATAATTTAACACTAAACATGATCGGTATGGAAAGTATAAGCACACGAGAAAATGACAACAATAATTATACGTTTAGATTTACAATTTCATTTCCTTTTGGCAGACACACATTAACCAATTCCTCCAGATACAACATTACACTTCACATAAAGTTAATCATACATACTTAATAAAACACATTTCACACCTGGTCTAAGGGAAGCAGGCTAGAACAAATACATATATTATAAATATAAATGCTATAACCACAGCTACACTGGCATGTACGGAATACAAACATTAGAAATACTGCTAAATACTACACGTATATACATAATACGTATACATACATTACTTATATTCATTGTATTTCAAACACAATGCTGGTACTATATACAACTACAATGTAGGTTAAAATAAACGGTTACATAACCAAAGTTTCAATATAAATAAAGTAACGAATAAATGAACTACACAACCCTGTGTTATACAGTGAAGATAAGGGGCTCTCAGAAGATGAACAGAGAGAGTATGTCAACTGGGAAGCAGGAGTCGTGACCAGGATATGTATTTGATTGAAGTGATTAAGCAGGACCTGAGAACACTAACCACCAATCCTGTTACATCTATGTAAACAACCGACAATAACAACCAATCCTGTTACATCTATGTAAACCACCAAACAATAACAACCAATCCTGTTACATCTATGTAAACCACCAAACAATAACAACCAAACATTGAGGCCAAACCTGTGACAGACCCAGTGCCCGAAAGAGAAGTGTCTGAACTACCCAAGTTATTGGAAGTTTGTGCAAGTGTAGAAGTTAACACAAGTTTTTAAGGAAATATATGTTAAATATTTTAGTGCATCTAAATATGACAAATTGGTATACACGACAAATAAATATCTTCATTTACGGAAGGAGAGCTTCTGTACCTTATTCACTACATCAAATAAATGATTACAAATCATCTTATATTGCCTACAATAGTAATCTTGTACTCTCCATTGCAGTTACCCTGGGGTATGTTTACAACAGAATGATTTAATAACGTATCGTTTATAATTTTAAGACATCAATGGTTAAATTTCAAATTTAATGGCGTCATATGGCATTATTGCTGTTGTCTGCCTGAGCAATGACGAGTCGTTGTCTTTTAGGTGTGCGGAAGTAATTAATGAAATACTTTCTTGTTCATGCAGGGTGTAACACCTTTACTACATAAAAGTGTCTGATTGATGTTTTATAAAGTCACAGCAATATAAAAAACATGTTTGTGCCGTTACCTTGGCACTGTGGTTTGATTTGTGCAAACTTTTCATCATACAATACATTAACCTTCACGTGGTGTCTCTCTCATTTCATTTGACCTAGTCAGGCTACTAATACGTGCACCTGTTACTTCCTCCTCTGGAGGAAGATTGGTACGTCATACTTTCTCTGTAGGAGGAAGATGAAAATGTTGTCGGTAGCTGGTTGCACTCATTGCTGTAACACATCGTGTAGAAGGTAAGGTTAAAATCATTTCAAAGTGCAATCCTAGAAACACACATTGCCTAACACACCTGGTATATAGCATGTTTATTTCAATATTATCAATATCAATATGTGTATACCTGTAATATCAAGATATGTGTTCAACGTTTATTGATTTAAAGAAGGTCGGTTTACCGAAGTTGTTATTAATTTCCTTTCAGACAAGCTATGGTCCTCTCCTTGGTGCTTGTTCTGCCTCTTATGGTAATTTCCACACAGGGTAAGACTGATTTATTACTATTTATAACAGTTTTGTTTTGTTTGTTGTTTAACGCCGCGCTCGTTAATATTCCAGCTATGCGACGGCAGTCTGTAAATAATCGAGTCTGGACCAGACAATCCAGTGATTGACATCAGCATCGATTCACGCAATTGGGATACGATGACATGCATTAACCAAGTCAGCGAGCCTGACCACCCAATGCCGTTAGTCAAAGACATCCAGATATTCTATTTCCCGCTTACTCTCTTTTAGCGAGAACGTCTGGACTCCAAACAAGACGAGGGCTAAGAATAAGCGCCCTGTATACAAAGGGACATAACACTTAACAGGTTATTACTTCACCTTTGCTTGTGTTTGTCTGCGGGAATAGTTAAATCAATCAGATTGGTTCGAGATTGCAGACTAACGGAACAGGACTCATCTTCCTCCGTACATTATCACTAAACTAATAACATGATAGTTGAAATGAAATATAAATTCAAATTGACAAACAATCAACACAATTTAGCTGGGGGAAGAGTATTCCTCGTCAAGACAGTCATCACTTGTTTGTAAATAATGGTCGGACGGTTGTGCGTTAGCACGGAGGAGAGCTCTGGTGGCAGATAGGATAGAGAACTTCACGAATGGGCTATCGCTGCGAGGATCTTGTTCAGTAATGGGAGGTAGTTTCACCCATCATCAAAATATATACATTTATCATTTACAAGATGTACGATGGCGGCAAGTAAAGAGACGACATGTTCTCGTACTGGTCCGGACTAATGCCGATTTTATAGTGCTAGCCCACTGAGATACCATGCCACAGTTTAACATGAATACCCGGCTTAGACATAGTATACTGACTCCGAGCCGACCAGTCCTTGTTTTAGCCCCTTAATGCCGAGCGCCAGACAGGGTAACATCAAGTACCTTCTTCTAACTTAGTATGGATCGAACCCCTGACCTTTCACTCTCCGGGCGGACGCTCTACCACTAGACCAGGGTGATGGTCACACAGTTACTAGTAATGCTCCTATGGACTTACATATAGTGCATGTCCGTTCTTATAATCTTTCTATCCCTATTTCGATACCTCGAAGGATGCAAGTACACACAATGTGTATGTGTGGCCTCACGGTTACATCCAGCAACCAGCTGTGAGATGAGGGGAGAGTATTTATACTAGACATTCCCTGCAGTATCACCTTTTGTAGTTGTTTTACAACAAATAGATTTGAATACTATTATTAGATGAGCAATGTCTACCTCAATGCCAGCCACAGTGACAGTTCGTCGTAGTACATTTGGTTATTAGTTTTTTAATTTGAAGTAAACACGATGTACGGCTTTTCCACTTGAAGAAAGCGTCCATAAGCGTATGGACACAATTTGACGTTCATACGTTTTACACAAGACTGTATTTTTAAAATCACGTAAACTCTGACGGACTTCCCCCACATCCCTGGGAATGCCCTTGCACAAATGCATACAAAAGCGTTGTTTCTGATCATTTAGACCCTTTATTCTTGAACTTGATCATGAGACGTTTTCAACGGGTGAACGTTAACGTGCCATAGGAATGTTGCAGATAGGCACACACGTCTGAATATTGATGCCCAAACGCGGCATGGTTCTCAATCTGTCATCAGCAGATTGTGGGCCCCATACCAACAAATCCATAACGTCGATGATAGACGCCGCTCTGGGCCACCAAGGGCAACAGCTCCAGCTAAGGACAGATTAGTCAGAACGATGGTATTAAGAAATCGGTTGCAAACTGCCACTCAGATAAGGACCGGTTGCAACAGGCAACTGGTGTAAGAGGACATGCTTAGACGTGGGAAATCGTCTGTACAGATGGCATTTGCGTATATGTGGTGTAGGAAACGTCAGCATTGTGATAATCGACGATGTCATGTTTTCTGACGAATCGAGGTTCACCCTCGACTTCCGTGACCAACGGAATCGAGTTTAGCGACGTCAACATGAGCGTTTTATGGACGTTAACGTTGTACAGTATGGTCAGTTTGGGGGTAGCTCCATAATGGTAGGGGGTGGTATCATAATGACTGGCCGACCTGCGCTACACATTGTCCATGACAGAGTCACAGGTCAATGGTATCGGGACAACATCAACGTGCTCATCGTGCAAGGATTGTGACCCAGTTCCTCCAACAGCAAAACATCCATGTCATGCCATGGCCAGCACTCCTGACCTTTGCGCCACTGAACACATCTGGGACGTCATTAGCAGACGTGTACGTCAACGGCAAAACCCACCTTCCACACTCAATGAACTCGGTGATGCTATCACTGTTGAGTGGAACAACATGAGTAAAGCTGATAATGGTCGACTCCTCAGAAGCATGCCTCGAAGAACTCGTGCATGTCTTGCCAACAGAGGTGGTTTACCCGAAAGTATTGACGTTGGCTGCAAAATGCAAATTTCAAAATTGCCCCCCCCCCCCCCCCCCCCCCCCCCTCCAAACCTCTTTAGTGTGCCACCATCATCACACCAACCAATAGTACCCATTAGATCTGATTGCCTACTCCCATGCTGATATTATAAGATTATTTCCATTTGCCAATACCGTATAGATCAGAAGATTTATCTTCATGATTCCCTTTATCCCAACTCTTTAAATATATCCATACTCTTTCGGATGCAGGACATCTAATTCATTTCATATCCAATGGTATGTTTATTACTCCTATACAAACAAAGCTTGCTACTCGCAGTTAAATCATGGTGCCATTTGGGGATAAAATTATCACGTGAACGTTTCTTGTGTAACCTGCTTAAAAAAAGGGAAATATGATTCCAAGGATACGTATTCAAATCCGTTTTGAAACATGACATCAACCTCACACATCCAACTTGGTCAGCCCTTATAACACTGCTTAAGCAAAAAAACATGGGCTAACTTCAAAAGCCAATTTGTTTTTTTTTACCACTTAAGCCAATAGTTCAATACTCTTAAATACCTATAATGGATGGCCGCCTATCTGCCCATAACCAGAGTCTGACGCATTATTTGCCCTTTGGTGCATATCAAGAATAGATTCACATAATTTTAGGCAAGACGTAGGAGTTACCCATGGACACCAATAGCGCTACCCTTCTTGCTGATCTCTTTCTTTATGCATATGAATCGGAATTTATGCTCGGATTGGCAGAGTCAAAACAAAGTAATTTGTTCAAGAAGTTTACCTAAGCTTCAGGTTTATCGATGATCTGATATCATACAATAGCCATCAAAGAGCCATCCCATTTACCCATCTGAACCAGAAATAAAAGAGACCAGTGAGACCGCCTCATCTGGTTCATATTTAGAATTATACATAAAGATTTGTTTATAAGGACTCAGGGTGACAAAAAACTCTCCTCAAGACTGTATGACAACAGGGTGAGTTCAACTTTCCCTTCATGTGGACCATATTCATGTAGCTCCGGCCTTTGATGTTCACTCACATTTCACAATTAAGGTACAATCGAGCATAACCATTCTACCAAGATTTCAAAGAGCGTCATACCTCTTGCCATAAGTTGTTGGATCAAGGTTACACCATTCAAAGCCTCAGTAAAGCTTTAAACAAGTTTTATGGCAGATATGTCTGGTGCTATTCCCTATTTGAACTTGTACCGTCCATATGTACCTGTGTTTCTTCAGATGAACAATTGACTTCACTTTGCATGTGTTTGTGACGGTTGCCACTGGTGGGGCAGGATACGTTCACCTTTTCGCGACCACCTGGTAGCATCAATATTTGATAATCAGCTTATGATATTGTTTGAATCGTAGTTAATCGACTCTGCTTTTGGCAGATATTTTCTATGAATACGGAAAGGGATTTGTCGTTTTTATTTACATAATCACCAAGTTCCACACCCGTGATTGATAGCAGAGATGACAAAGGAACCATATAGTTTGCCGTTTGCTTTTGCAGAAAAATATCCTTTTCAAATATTTTGAGTAAACATTCATGGCTTGCTTGTACAATTACCAGCCAAAATCCGCTATAGGGGTCATTACCAATAACTTCACATCAGAAGACCGATGATATTCTTTTCACCGACCCCATTACCTTTATGTTTGTTATGTTTACCTGCGGACCCCTCACACTACAGTAACAAAGTAGACTATCCGGGGGATTAGTAGTCCTGGCGTCTCACATCACCAGATTATCTGCAAACAACATGAGGCACAAGTTTCTGCAATCAGTCCATAAACCTTTCCTGCAGCTTCAATACGAGGAGTGAGTGAGTGAGTGAGTGAGTGAGTTTGGGTTTAACGTCGCTTTTAACAGTATTCCAGTTATATCATGGCGTGTCAGCGTAGTGTGGGAGGAAAGCCCGAAGTGATGCAGGTCTCAGACGTTTACCACTTCGGCGAAACCCACGAGCACGGGTATGGTGCTGACAAACCTAGAAACATAATCGGGCCGAACCGGGATTCGAATCCACAATCATAGGTTTCTGGCGTGCCCAAGGGACGCAACTCTGCATAGCGAAACGCGGCGCCTTAGACGACTTGGCCACCCGTGCCCCCTCAATACGAGGAAATAAGTATGGGGACCCTTGTATGCCTAGAGTGACGTATGCCTATGGTAACAGGGTGCTGTTGTACAAAACAACCTTAGCGCTACGACGGTCGTAAGTCTATGTTAGAGTAGGGGAGTTACGATCATCTTAGTGCTAAGATCGCTTTGTACAACGGCACCCTGGTCGATATTTACCTGCATCAACATACATACAGATGTGATAGATATGTACATAGCTTACCTCAGAACACTGCACTGATAATATCCAGACAGTTTAATAGACAGAGATTTGTTACATAATATTTGACTCGGGTTCGATTCCCCCACAGGGACACAAAAAGCCCGTTTATTGGTGCCAACCCACTACTATCGCTTATGGAGTGAGGTTACGTGTTAATGACGTTCGCGAAGGTTGTATATGCGACCTTCAGGTGGAGACATGTACATACTCTAGCTGTATATATGAGGGGGAACATATAACAGTGTATATTTATAACGTTTATCTGCATTATGTGCATTCATGGCATTCAATATATTAGTCATTCCTAATTCGAACGAGCACGCATTCGGCGTCAAGTCTAAATTTGCAAGAAGGCCACAAAAGTTATTTTTGTGTGCACAATTCAAACAATAAAAACACAAACTATTTTACTTGTAATTTGTCGTCCTTTAAAAGTTTCAGTTTCAAGGAGGAATGGCGAATAATATTCACATTTAAGTATAGGCGCCCGGGACCATGAATCTAATTAGTGTCATAAACGGGTCAATTAGTTTCGCAAAAATCCACGTGTATCCTATCAGAAGCAAATATCAGCTCCGTGCGATACTGATAGTTGTGTACTACGACGAGGTGAATGGTTACTGTTTTCTATTTTACAGCAGCAAAGTGTACCGACAACCAGGCGTGTTCAGACTGCGACAACACCGGACAATGTACAACCGAATGTCACACTGGATATTACGACCGGTCCTGTAGATCAAAATGTAACACGGCTTGCAAGAATAATGCGTGTAAGCCGAATGGGGATGGCATTGAGGTGTGCACCGAAGGTTGTATACCTGGTTATGATGGCAAAAACTGCAACATTAAATGTGAGAATAATTATACATTAAACGATATGTACTGTCTTGAGGTGTGCAAGCAACACTGTCGTTTGAAATCCAACACAAAGGACATAATCAGATGTCTGGTCCATGGTGAAAGTGCTTCAGTGTTTTGTACATCTGAGTGTGGCGAGTGTCTCCATGGCTGTGTAGAAGGCTGGTATGGACCACGGTGCTCCTCTCAATGCAGTGCAGGTTGTAGAGGCGGAAGGTGTGAGGCTGCAGGTGCGTGTGTGGACGGATGTAGACCTTGGTATTTCGGGAGATACTGTCAGCCCTGTTACCGCTGCAAGAACCACACCTGTAGCCCACAACACGGGATCTGTGTGGACGGATGCCTCACAGGATATTATGGGGAGTTTTGTAATCACAGCTGTGAGGTTTGCCGTGAGGGGATCTGTGATCAGATGACTGGCGCCTGCGTCAACGGATGTGACGTCAGCGGACGTGGATGTAAACCTTCCTGTACCAGCAACTGTTCCAGGGACTATTGTCTTTACGCACAGACATGTGATACAGGTACCCCAAAATACTTTGTCAGAACAAAGATTATCATTTAAACTAAACCTATTGTTTCTCGCGTTTTATTTATATATTGTGTAAGTTTGTAACCATATCTACCACCAATCCGTCTCCCTACTAACTCTTCCACCCACCTATCCATCTACAACCAACTCAACTACCCACCAAACGATCTACCCACCAACCGTTCTACCCACCAACCGATCTACCCATCAACCCATCTGACTACTCAACGTCTACTCACAAACAGCCATCCTTGAACCCATCTAACCACAACCATCTATTCACCAACACGTCTGTCACCCACATCACCTCACCATCAACCCATTTAACTATTATTAAACCCATTCAACCCATTATAAACATAATCTATCAAACAAACAATTTTACCACCAACCCATCTTTCCATCAACTAATCGACCCACCAACTCATCAATCCATGTATCTATCAACCCATCTGACGATCAACACATGTATTTATTAAACCATCACCAACCCATCAACCCTAAATTACCCTCCCATCAACCCAAATTATCTATCAACGCATCTGCCCATATACCCTTCACCCAATCTAATAATCACCTCATCTGCCCATATACCCTCACCCAATCTAATCATTAACGCATCAGCCCATATACTCATCACCCAATCTAATCATCAGCTCATCTGCCCACATACCCATCACCCAATCTAATCATCAACGCATCTGCTCATATACCCATCACCCAATCTAATCATCAACTCATCTGCCCATCACCCAATCTAATCATCAACGCATCTACCCATATACCCATCACCCAATCTAATCATCAACTCATCTGCTCATTTGCCCATCACCCAATCTAATCATCAACTCATCTGCCCATATACCCATCATCCAATCTAATCATCAACGCATCTGCCCATATACCCATCACCCAATCTAATCATCAACGCATCTACCCATATACCCAACCATCACCAAATCTAATCATTAACTCATCTGCCCATATACCCATCACCCAATTTAATCATCAACTCATCTGCTGATATACCCATCACCCAATCTAAACATCAACTCATCTGCCCATATGCCCATCGTCCAATCTAATCATCAACGCATCTGCCCATATACCCAATCTAATCATCAATTCAGCTGCCCATTTACCCATCACCCAATCTAATCATCAACTCATCTGCCCATATACCCATCCATCACCCAGTCTAATCATCAACTCGTCTGCCCATATACCCATCACCCAATCTAATCATTAGCTCATCTGCCCATATCCCCATCACCCAATCTAATCCTCAACTCATCTGCCCATATACCCATCACCCAATCTAATCATCAAATCATCTGCCCATATTCCCATCACCCAATCTAATAATCAACTAATCTGCCCATATACCCATCCATCAGCCAGCCTAATCAACTCGTCTGCCCATATTCCCATCACCCAATCTAATCAACAACTCATCTGCCCATATACCCATCACCCAATCTAATAATTAGCTCATCTGCCCATATGCCAAACACCAAATCTAATCATCAAATCAACTGCCCATATACCCATCACCGAATCTAATCATCAACCATTGCCCATATACCCATCCATCACCCAATCTAATCATCAACTCATCTGCCCATTGCCCAATATAATCATTAACTCATCTGCCCATATGCCCATCACTCATTTAATCATCAACTCATCTGCCCATCACCCAATCTAATCATCAAATCATCTGCCCATATACCCATCACCCAATCTAATCATCAACTTCTTTGAAAATTATACCCATCACCCAATCTAATCATCAACTCATCTCCCCATATACCTATCACCCAATCTAATCATCAACTCATCTGTCAATATACCCATCACCACATCTAATCATCAACTCATCTGGCCATATACCCATCACCAATCTAATCATCAACGCATCTGCCCATATGCCCATCACCCAATCTAATCATCAACTCATCTGTCAATATACCCATCACCACATCTAATCATCAACTCATCTGCCCAATTACCCATCACCCAATCTGATGATCAACTCATCTGCCCATATACCCATCCATCACCCAATCTAATCATTAACTCATCTGCCCACATGCCCATCACCCAATCTAATCATCAACTCACCTGCCCATATACCCATGCATCACCCAATCTTATCATTAACTCATCTGCCCATATGCCCATCACTCAATCTAATCGTCAACTCATCTGCCCATATTCCCATCACCCAATCTAATCATCAACGCAACTGCCAATATACCCATCACCCAATCTAATCATTAACTCATCTGCCCATATACCCATCGCCCAATCTAAACATCAACTCATCTGCCCATATACCCATCCATCACCCAATCTAATCATTAACTCATCTGCCCATATGTCCATAACCCAATCTAATCATCAAAGCATCTGCCCATATACCCATCACCCAATCTAATCATTAACTCATCTGCCCATATACCCATCACCCAATCTGATCATCAACTCATCTGCCCATATACCCATCCATCACCCAATCTAATCATTCACCCATCTGCCCATATGCCCATCACCCAATCTAATCATCAACTCATCTGCCCATATACCTATCCATCACCCAATCTAATCACTAACTCAACTGCCCATATGTCCATCACTCAATCTAATCATTAACTCATCTGCCCATATGCCCATCACCCAATCTAATCATCAACTCATCTGCCCATTTACCCATCACCCAATCTGATGATCAACTCATCTGCCCATATACCCATCCATCACCCAATCTAATCATTAACTCATCTGCCCACATGCCCATCACCCAATCTAATCATCAACTCACCTGCCCATATACCCATGCATCACCCAATCTTATCATTAACTCATCTGCCCATATGTCCATCACTCAATCTAATCGTCAACTCATCTGCCCATATTCCCATCACCCAATCTAATCATCAACGCAACTGCCAATATACCCATCACCCAATCTAATCATTAACTCATCTGCCCATATACCCATCGCCCAATCTAAACATCAACTCATCTGCCCATATACCCATCCATCACCCAATCTAATCATTAACTCATCTGCCCATATGTCCATAACCCAATCTAATCATCAAAGCATCTGCCCATATACCCATCACCCAATCTGATCATCAACTCATCTGCCCATATACCCATCCATCACCCAATCTAATCATCAACTCATCTGCCCATATACCTATCCATCACCCAATCTAATCATTAACTCAACTGCCCATATGTCCATCACTCAATCTAATCATTAACTCATCTGCCCATATTCCCATCACCCAATCTAATCATCAACGCATCTGCCAATATACCCATCACCCAATCTAATCATTAACTCATCTGCCCATATACCCATCGCCCAATCTAAACATCAAAGCATCTGCCCATATTCCCATCCATCACCCAATCTAATCATTAACTCATCTGCCCATATGTCCATCACCCAATCTAATCATCAACGCATCTACCGATATACCCTTCACCCAATCTAATCATTAACTCATCTGCCCATATACCCATCACCCAATCTAATCATTAACTCAACTGCCCAAATACCCATCACCCAATCTAATCATTAACTCATCTGCCCATATACCCATCACCCAATCTAATCATCAACGCATCTGCCCATATACCCTTCACCCATTCTAATCATTAACTCATCTGCCCATATACCCATCACCCAATCTAATCATTAACTCATCTGCCCATATACCCATCACCCAATCTAATCATCAACGCATCTGCCCATATGCCCATCACCCAATCTAATCATCAACTCATCTGCCCATATACCCTTCACCGAATCTAATCATTAACTCATCTGCCCATATACGTATACCCATCACCCAATCTAATCATTAACTCATCTGCCCATATACCCATCACCCAATCTAATCATCAACGCATCTGCCCATATGCCCATCACCCAATCTAATCATCAACGCATCTGCCCATATCCCCATCACCCAATCTAATCATCAACACATCTGCCCATATACCCATCCATCACCAAATCTAATCATGATTTCGTCTGCCCATATGCCCATCACCCAATCTAATCAACAACTCATCTGCCCATATACCCATCACCCAATCTAATCATTAACTCATCTTCCCATATACCCATCACCCAATCTAATCATTAAATCATCTGCCCATATACCCATCACCGAATCTAATCATCAACTCATCTGCCCATATACCCATCCATCACCCAGTCGTATGATCAACTCGTCTGCCGATATGCCCATCACCCAATCTAATCAACAACTCATCTGCCCATTTACCCATCACCAAATCTAATCATCAACTCATCTGCCCATGTTCCCATCACCCAATCTAATCATCAAATCATCTGCCCATATACCCATCACCCAATCTAATCATTAACTCATCTGCCCATATCCCCATCACCCAATCTAATCATCAACGCATCTGCCCATATACCCAATCTAATCATCAACGCATCTGCCCATATACCCATTACCCAATCTAATCATTAACTCATCTGCCCATATACCCATCCATCACCCAATCTAATCATGATTTCGTCTGCCCATATACCCATCACCCAATCTAATCATTAACTCATCTGCCCATATGCCCATCACCCAATCTAATCATCCACCATTGCCCATATACCCATCCATCACCCAATCATCAACTCATCTGCCCATCACCCAATCTAATCATCAACTCATCTGCCCATCACACAATCTAATCATCACCCATCTGCCCATATACCTATCACCCAATCTAATCATCAACTTATCTGACCATATACCCATCACCCAATCTAATCATCACCTCATCTGACCATATACCCATCACCCAATCTAATCATCAACGCATCTGACCATATGCCAATAAACCAATCTAATCATCAACTCATCTGCCCATATACCCATCACCCAATATAATCACCAACCCATCTACCCACCAGCCCGCCACAAATCCACAAATTCATCTAGCTACCACCTCATCCATTTACCCGTATTTAACCATCTAACTAATAACCGATCAAAAACCCATCTGTCCACCGCCGCCCCACAACCGGTCAATCCATCTGGGGGCCACGAATGTCACCACAAGTCTTCCCTACATTATATTTACATTATAGCTAAAATGGATAGAATCATCATTTAACCGCCCGCATATTATCACAGATGAGCGGGCAACTTGATAATGTCATCATATTGCTTGACGACGGGCCATTGTCACACCCGTTGTTAGGTGACGTCATGGGATGGGGTTAGTTGACGTGGGTCTTAGCAGTTAATGGAAGACCTCAGGCTTCTGCAAATTATAATGCCCTGAAAAATAGCGTTACCTTTATATTGTTTAGATTCTTCAGCAGATTCCAAGTCTAATGGTATCAACATCGGACTCCCGATAGGCTGTGTGGTGTTCATCCTTGGTTTCCTGGTGTCACACTACATCTGCTACAGGAAGGGGCTTGCTGCAGGAAGGTTAGTAATACCTGATCGTCCATGGACACGTTCATGTAAGTGACGATATATTGATGCATACTGCAAAACAAACCTTGGGTATTCCAAATAAGAATAGTCCCGAAGCAACCTTGCGTGGATTGATGCTCATACCAGTTATTGAATTGTCTGGACCAGACAGTTGTATTAACAGGCCACCGTCATATAGTTAGAATATTGCTGAGTGCGGCGTAAATCAACACACACGACCTCTCTCTGGGTTTGTTTAACAGAAAACACGTACTGCTCTTTCTCTGTTTTCTTAGGGAGAAACCGGCAGATGACGCGGAACAGCCTCCTTCTGTGGAGTACCAGGCGTGGCACAAGTACTGTGACATAGAAGAGGAGGGCATGGACGTCGGCCGGCAGATTCAAAATGGCTGCCAAGAAAACTATGAAGAAGTGCGAGATCTTGGCATGCCGGTGATAGCTGGTGTCCTTCCAGCGGCGCCGGCCATTGTACACAGAGGTGATGACACGTCATCAGAGATTTCATCCTCATCCACTTCCCGATCCTGCGACCCCGAGATACAAAATGGTAACCCTGAAGAAGACCTAGATCTTGGCATGCCGGTGATAGTTGACGTCTTCCCAGCGGCCCCGGCCATTGTACACAGAGGTGATGACACGTCATCAGAAAGTATAACATCGTCCACTTCCCGGTCCTACACCCATCTGATCCCTGACGTAGTCCCCGGAGACCCGAGAACAGGTGACACTTATCTGTCTCCAGTGGAAGACGTCGTCCCACCATCGGAATTGTGATATCTTATTTCATAATATAACTCTTCCTTCGGAGTAACAGCGTAATAACATTTAATGTCTTCCATGATAGGATCATTCTTCGCTTTGTTGTGATGTCAAACCCATGTTACGTGGACAAACATACTGAGCAAATAAACACAATGTAGTTATCACATATATGTTTGTTTGTTTGTTATTCATGCCGCACTCAGCAATATTCTAGCTATATGACGGCCATATGTAAATAATAGAGTTATTGACATCTTAAGTGCACCTATCTGCGCAATAAGGATACAATGTCATGCGTCAACCAAGTCAGCGAGCCTGACCACCCGATCCCGCTAGTCACTCCTCACGACAAGCATGGGTTGCTGAAGACCAATTCTAACCAAGATCTTTGCCGGGTCAAAACACATAGGTACATTGGGATGGTTTAAGTATTTTCAAAGTGGATATTATTTAACCTCTACGACGCATTGTTGAGGATGAAAGACGTACACAGAAATAAAACACTTATAAAGACGTCTGTGTAACGCCCTGGACTAACACGGCGTAGTCACTGCTTTCAGTGTCAGTTGTTGAAGCACATGTTAATTAAACCGCCAGTATAACGAGGGAGATTTATGTACATAAAATAGCACAAGAGACAACATCCGTGTTCACTTTCATAACCGTTAAATATTGCAGTTTAGAATAATCATCAACAACCACATTGGATGACCATCCAACTTTTTGAGTGAGTGAGTGAGTGAGTGAGTGAGTGAGTGAGTGAGTGAGTGAGTGAGTGTAAATAATCATTTCAGATCAGACCAGTTACTGGGTGCATGAGCAATAACTTCCTCCACTGGGACACGTTGTCACAATCAGTCGACGCATCTTACCACTACATCATATTCAGTAGGTTGTCATAAACATTGGCTGTATCATTTAACATTATTGTCATTATTGTATTTGTCAAAATACAGTTTTGATCCAGTGAATGAATATTAATGTTGATTTGTTATTACCGTCTTGACTGAGAGAAATCGAAACTAAACACTTTTCAAATAAATTACACACATCAGAGCGGCTGTCAAAGCTCATTTCTCGACTATTTTCCGCAAATAAACTGAGAGGTTCACAACGCTGCCGGTTTCAGATATCAAACGTACAACAGATTCAGGGCGATATCGACACTCACTATTAATCGTGCGTGGAATGCCACCAACTTGACATTCTGCGCTGGGGGGATCACGCCGCTGTTTCAGACAGATCCCTGAAGATACCAGCATTGCTTAATTAGCGTGAGTGCAGCTCAATGCTCAATCAACATGACGTATATCTACGCAGGTTCGGACGCACCCACCAACTCGTTTATGAACGATCTAACCATAAACACATCTAGCCACCAACTCATCTATTCACCATCGCATCTAGCCACCAACTAATCTCCCCATCTTTCAATCAACAATCCAAACTATCTATCCACCAATACATCTACAACAACCCAACTCAGCCCCAAAACCCATCTACCCACCAACTCATCTATTCACCATCGCATCTATCCATCAACCCACCTAACCACCAACCCATTTATTCACTAACTCATCTACCCACCAACCCACCAACCCATCTATCCACAAACTCATCTACCCACCAACCCACCAACCCATCTATCCACAAACCCATCTTTTCATCGACCCACCAATCCATCTACCCGCCAACCCACCTACCGACCATCACCTCTGCCCACAACCCATCTATCAATCCACCCATCTATCCAACAATCCATCCACCCATCAACCCATCTACCCACCAACCCATCTAACCAGCAACATATCTAACCACCAACCAATCCACACACCAAACCCCTCTACCCACAAACCCATCTACCCACCAAACCCCTCTACCCACAACCCCTCTACCAACCAACCCATCTTACCACCAACCAGCAAACCACAACTCATCTACCCACCAACTCATCTACCAACCAACCCATCTACCCACCAACCCATCTACCCACCAACCCATCTATCCACAACCCATCTACCGACCAACCAATCTAACCAGCAACATATCTAACCATCAACCAATCCACCCACCAAACCCATCTACCCACCAACCGCTCTACCCATCAACCCATCTACCCACTAACCCATCTACCCACCAACACATCTATCCACCAACCCCTCTACCAACCAACCACTTTACCACACAAACCCATCTATCCACCAACCCATCTGACTACTCAACGTCTACCCACAAACAGCCATCCTTGAACCCTTCTTACCACAACCATCTATTCACCAAAATGTCTGTCACCCACATCACCTCACCATCAATCCATTTAAACCCTTTAACCCATTATAAACATAATTTATCAAACCCATCTAACCACCAACCCCTCTAACCACCAAACCCTTTACCCACCAACCCATCTAACCAACAAACCCATCTACCCACCAACCCCTCTACCAACCAACCCATCTAACCACCAACCAGCAAACCACAACTAATCTACCCATCAACCCATCTAACCACCAACCCATCAACCCACCAACCCCTCTACCCACCAACCCATCTATACACAACCCATCTACCCACCAACCCCTCTACCTATCTACCCATCTACCCACTAACCCATCTACCCACCAACCCATCTATCCACCAACACCTCTACCCATCAACCACTCTACACACCAACCAGTCTATCCACCAACCCATCTTTCCACCCACCAACCCATTTAACCACCAACCCCTCTACCCACCAACCCATCTATACCCAACCCCTCTACCAACCAGCCCATCTACCCACCAACCCAGCAAACAACAACCCCTCTACCCACCAACCCATCTACCCACCAACCCCTCATCCCACCAACCCATCTACCCACCAACGCATCTACCCACCAACCCATCTAACCACCAACCCCTCTAACCACCAACCCCTCTACCCACCAACCCCTCCACCCACCAACCCCTCTACCCACCAACCCCTCCACCCACCAACCCCTCTACCCACCAACCCATCTAACCACCAACCCCTCCACCCACCAACGCATCTACCCACCAACCCCTCTACCCACCAACCCACCAACCCCTCTACCCACCAACCCCTCCACCCACCAACCCCTCTACCCACCAACCCATCTAACCACCAACCCATCCACCCACCAACCCCTCTACCCACCAACCCCTCCACCCACCAACCCCTCTACCCACCAACCCATCTAACCACCAACCCCTCCACCCACCAACGCATCTACCCACCAACCCATCTAACCACCAACCCCTCTACCCACCAACCCATCTACCAACCAACCCTTCTACCCACCAACCCATCTACCCACCAACCCATCTACCCACCAACCCATCTAACCACCAACCCCTCAACCCACCAACCAATCTAACCACCAACCCATCTACCAACCAACCCTTCTACCCACCAACCCATCTACCCACCAACCCATCTACCCATCAACCCATCTACCAACCAACCCTTCTACCCACCAACCCATCTACCCACCAACCCATCTATCCACCAATCCCTCTACCAACCAACCCTTCTACCCACCAACCCCTCAACCCACCAACCAATCTAACCACCAACCCATCTATCCACCAACCCATCTACCAACCAACCCATCTACCCACCAACCCATCTACCCACCAACCCATCTACCAACCAACCCTTCTACCCACCAACCCATCTACCCACCAACCCATCTACCCACCAACCAATCTACCAACCAACCCATCTACCCACGAACCCATCTACCAACCAACCCCTCTACCCACCAACCCCTCTACCCACCAACCCATCTACCCACCAACCCCTCTACCCACCAACCCCTCTACCGACCTACCACTCTACCGACCAACCCATCTACCAACCAACACATCTGTTGCAGCCCTGTTGCTGTGATTCTTCAGCAGATTCTTATGGTGTCAACATCGGACTCCCGACCGGCTGTGAGGTGTTCTTCCTTAGTGTCCTGGTGTCACACTACATCTGTTTCAGGAAGGGTATTGCTGCAAGGCGGTTGGCATAATATAACTGGTATTTTTAAAAATTAAATATAAAGATATTTTGTGTGAACAAGTGAGGTACTTCTATGGATATACAACTTCTTATTACGGTCGAGGCGACGGTTCGGTGTAGACACAAACATTGTTATCTAGCAGGTGATCACCACTTGTCTGCTGTGAGTTGCTCGTAACAAGGGAGATAACCCGCCTAGACCACACACATCGCATTACAAACTTCGTGTATTTGGGTATTCAGGTGATCATTTGCAGGTTCGAGTCAACCACCAAACCTAATTGTTGCATTTCGATCTGCTCGCTACCATATACTGATCCTAAAAGGGGCGGTGGGGTAGTCTTGTGCTGGAGTATTGTTGAAAGCGGCGTAAAACCATACGTTGTTCACATCGCTTTTTATTCGTTTTGTTTAGCAGTAATGCAGGCACTCTTGCTCTTTCGTCGGGGCGGACGGGTAGCCTAGTGGTTAAAGCGTTCGCTCGTCACGCCGAAGACCCGGGTTCGATTCCCGACATTGGTACAATGTGTGAAGCCCATTTCTGTCCCCCGCCGTGATATTGCTGGAATATTGCTAAAACCACACTCACTCACTCACTCTTTTTTGTCACAGGGATAACCTAACAGATGACGCGGAACAGCCTCCTTCTGTGGAGTACCAGGCGTGGCACAAGTACTATGACATAGAAGAGGAGGACATGGACGTCGGCCGGCAGATACAAAATGGCTGCCAAGAAAACTATGAAGAAGTGCGAGATCTCGCCAGCGCGGCCATTGTACACAGACGTGATGAGACGTCATCTCTTAGCTCAGTACAACGTCGTCCACTTCCCGATCCTACACCCACCTGTTGTTCCCTGACGTAGTCACTGAAGACTCGAGAACAGATGACACTTATCTATCTCCAGTGGAAGACCTCGTCCCACCATCAGAGTTGTGATGTCTCATATACTGTCAATATGGACCTTTGTTCAGAGCCCGTGGTCCTGCTATCAGATTTTGTTTTCAAAGTAGCCCTTTGTTCAGCGCTTTAACATAATATATACTGAACAACAAAAGTTCCTGTGACATTGAATAAGATTTAATGCAAAGTTTTGTTTTTTACCAAATCTGAAACAATTTCGGTTTGCAACAGATAAAAGAATCCTGTAAGTGTTCAAATAGTTTAATTTATACTGATTAATACTGATTTTGGAAAAAAAACATGAACATGCCAAAATGACTATTTACAAATCAATAGCGTGTGTGTCCACCTCTGGTTGCGATGCAAGCAACACATCTTCGTCTCATGGAATGGACCAGGCGTCCTGTGGGATATCTGTCCATATCTGCTGGAGCATGTTTTGAAGTTCCTGGAGTGTCGAAGACGCCGATCAATCTCACCCCGCATGGTGAGAGATCAGGGGAGCAAGCCGGCCAGGGGATGACATTCACGTTGTTTTTGTTGAAGAGAATCTTGAACAAGTCGAGGAATATGAGGCCGGGCATTGTCATGTTGAACTTTACTTGTTTAAAAATTATGCTAAAATATTGGTGTCACGGGAACTTTTGTTGTTGAGTATATTTGTCGAAGGCCAGGGATGCTCCTTGCAGTCACTGTTGCTGGCTGGAATCGATTTCGTAGGTGTGTTATTCGAATCCAGTTTTCTTGTCAATTATTGGTTACCAGTGGCCTGCCATTCCGAGGATGTTGTCGGATTGCATTCGTCTGTTGCCATAAACATCAAATTGTGTCTCTGTGGACGTTAAATTGTCTTGCAACATCACGATGAATCGATCCTGCTTCAAGCATACCAATGGCTCGCAGTTTCGGACAGGCGTCGTATTTGGTAATGTTGAATAATTGCGTAATTGTGTTGTTTTTCTGGGTGGTTGTTGTCAGCACGATGCTAAACAATGCATATGGAATCCTGTTAACGCACATGTTCTTATACCCATTCTTTGGTAGTGAAATGCATGGGGCTTGCATAAAAGTCAACTTTTGCATAGAATGCATACTTTTCTGTAGCAGTTGCGCTTTTTGTGACTTGATTCCATACAAGTACAACAATATTTAAAACCAAACTTTACTTGTTTGAAAAATACACTAAAATATTGGTGACACGGTAACCATGGAGTGCTACAAAGAGCGATGTTTTATTGCACCGGATCTCCAACGTGCAAACGTCAGGGATAAAGAGGTGGTATACCCCAGTAAGAACAACACGAATAGCTGCATATGTCTATCAAATAAAATGCCAGGCTAGTTCGGCCAATGACATGAAATTGAAGACATATAGAATTCGGAGGTCAAAAGTGATTGAGTGAGTGAGTTGTGTTTAACGCCGCTTTTAACAGTATTCCAGTTATATCGCGGAGTTTCAGCTTAATGTGGGAGGAAAGCCCGAAGTGATGCCGGTCTCAGACGTTTACCACTTCGGTGAAACCCACGAGCACGGGTATGGTGCTTACAAACCTAGAAACATAGTCGGGGTGAACCGGGATTCGAACCCACAATCATAAGTTTCTGACGTGTCCAAGGGACGCAACTCTGCACAGCGAATCGCGGCGCCTTAGATGATATCATTGAATTTTCATACCCAATATTTACATCAATCGAAATATTCCAATATGAGCGTGTTTCATACAAGGGCATGGCGTGACTAGCCGATTGATAGAATCGGGCCCATTCTACCACCCGGCGAAGTAAGGGTCAAAGTGGTGTGTTGGACAAAATCAAATTGACAAACAAACAACACAATTTAGCTGGGGGAAGAGTATTCCTCGTCAAGACAGTCATCACTTGTTTGTAAATAATGGTCGGACGGTTGTGCGTCAGCACGGAGGAGAGCTCTGGTGGCAGAGAGGATAGAGAACTTCACGAATGGGCTATCGCTGCGAGGATCTTGTTCAGTAATGGGAGGTAGTTTTACCCATCATCAAAATATGTACATTTATCATTTACAACATGTACGATGGCGGCAAGTAAAGAGACGACATGTTCTCGTACTGGTCCGGACTAATGCCGATTTTATAGTGCTAGCCCACTGAGATACCATGCCACAGTTTAACATGAATACCCCGCTTAGACATAGTATACTGACTCCGAGCCGACCAGTCCTTGGTTTAGCCCCTTAATGCCGAGTGCCAGACAGGGTAACATCAAGTACCTTCTTCTAACTTAGTATGGATCGAACCCCTGACCTTTCACTCTTCGGGCGGACGCTCTACCACTAGACCAGGGTGATGGTCACACGGTTACTAGTAATGCTCTTATGGACTAACATATAGTGCATGTCCGTTCTTATAATCTTTCTATCCCTATTTCGATACCTCGAAGGATGCAAGTACACACAATGTGTATGTGTGGCCTCACGGTTACATCCAACAACCAGCTGTGAGATGAGGGGAGAGTATTTATACTAGACATTCCCTGCAGTAACACCTTTTGTAATTGTGTTACAACAAATAGATTTGAATACTATTATTAGATGAGCAATGTCTACCTCAATGCCAGCCACAGTGACAGTTCGTCGTAGTACATTTGGTTATTAGTTTTTTAATTTGAAGTAAACACGATGTACGGCTTTTCCACTTGAAGAAAGGCCGGTCACATGGCCGCGAAGCTGGCGTTCATAAGCGTACTGACACAATTTGACGTTCATACGTTTTACACAAGACTGTATTTTTAAAATTACGTAAACTCTGACGGACGTCCCCCACATCCCTGGGAATTCCCTTGCACAAATGCATACAAAAGCTTTGTTTCTGATCATTTAGACCCTTTATTCTTGAACTTGATCATGCGACGTTTGATACGAGTGAACGTTAACGTGCCATAGGAATGTTGCGGGTGGACACAAGTCTGAATATTGTTGCCCAAACGCGGCATGGTTCTCAATCTGTCATGAGCAGACTGTGGGCCCCATACCAACAAATACATAACGTCGATGATAGACGCCGCTCTGGGCGACCAAGGGCAACAGCTCCAGCTAAGGATAGATTCGTCAGAACGATGGTATTAAGAAATCGGTTGCAAACTGCCACTCAGATAAGGACAGGTTGCAACAGGCAACTCGTGTAAAAGGACATGCCTAGACGGTGCGAAATGGTCTGCACAGATGGCATTTGCGTATCTGTGGTGTAGGAAACGTCAGCATTGTGATAATCGACGATGTCATGTTTTCTGACGAATCGAGGTTCACCCTCGACTTCCGTGACCAACGGAATCGAGTTTAGCGACGTCAACATGAGCGTTTTATGGACGTTAACGTTGTACAGTATGGTCAGTTTGGGGGTAGCTCCATAATGGTAGGGGGTGGTATCATAATGACTGGCCGACCTGCGCTACACATTGTCCATGACAGAGTCACAGGTCAATGGTATCGGGACAACATAATTGCACCACACGTGGTGCCATTTGCACAACTTGTTGGACAACGTTTCATCTTGCAAGATGATAATGCACATGCTCTTCGTGCAAGGATTGTGACCCAATTCCTCCCAACAGCAAAACATCCATGTCATGCCATGGCCAGCAGTCCTGACCTTTGCGCCACTGAACACATCTGGGACGTCATTAGCAGACGTGTACGTCAACGACAAAACCCACCTTCCACACACAATGAACTCGGTGATGCTCTCACTGTTGAGTGGAACAACATGAGTCAAGCTCACATTGGTCGACTCCTCAGAAGCATGCCTCGAAGAATTCGTGCATGTCTTTCTGGCAGAGGTGGTTTACCCAAAAGTATTGACGTTGGCTGCAAAATGCAAATTTCAAAATTGATCCCCCCGCAAACCTCTTTAGTGTGCCACCATTTCATCACACCAACCATTAACACCCATTAGATCTGATTGCCTACTCCCATGCAGATATTATAATATTATTTCCATTTGCCAATACCATATAGATCAGAAGATTTGTCTTCATGTTTCCCATTATCCCAACTTTTTAAATATATCCATACTCGGATGCAGGACATCTAATTAATTTTATATCCAATGGTATGCTTATTACTCATATACAAACAAAGATTGCTACTCGCAGTTAAATCATGGTGCCATTTTTGGATAAAATTATCACGTAAATATTTCTTGTATAATCTACTTAAAAAAGGTATTCTAGTTCCAAGGATACGTATTCAAATCAGTTTTGAAACATGACATCAACATCACACATCCAATTTGGTCAGCCCTTATTACACTGCTTAAGCAAAATACCATGGGCTAACTTCAAAAGCCAATTTGTGTTATTTACAACTTAAGCCAACCTATAGATATATAATGGATAGCCGCCTATCTCCCCGGATAGACACGAGCTTATGATATTGTTGGAATCGAAGTTAATCGACTCTGCTTTTTTATGAATACGGAAAGGGATTTGTCGTTTTTATTTACAAAATCACCACGTTCCACACCCGTGATTGATAGCAGAGATGACAAAGGAACCAACTAGTTTGCCGTTTGTTTTTGCAGAAAGATATACTTTTTAAATATTATGCAGTAAACATTCATGGCTTGTTTGTACAATTACCAGCCAAAGTCCGCTATAGGGGTCATTACCAATACCTTCACATCAGAAGACCGATTATATTCTTTTCACCGACCCCATTACCTTTATGTTTGTTATGTTTACCTGCGGACCCCTCACACTACAGTAACAGAGTTGACTATCCGGGGGATTATGTAGGCCTGGCGTCTCACATCACAAGATTATCTGCAAACAACGTGAGGCACAAGTTCCTGCAATCAGTCCATAAACCACTGTCACTATTTTCCTGCAGCTTCAATACGAGGAGTGAGTGAGTGAGTTTGGGTTTAACGCCGCTTTTAACAGTATTCCAGTTATATCACGGCGTGTCAGCGTAGTGTGGGAGGAAAGCCCGAAGTGATGCAGGCCTCAGACGTTTACCACTTCGGTGAAACCCACGAGCACGGGTATGGTGCTGACAAACGTAGAAACATAAACGGGGAAACCGGGGTTCGAACCCACGATCATAGGTTTCTGGCGTGCCCGAGGGACGCAACTCTGCACCGCGTAACGCCGCGCCTTAGACGACTGGGCCACCCGTGCCCCTCAATACGAGGAAATAAGTATGGGGACATAACATACCCTTGCTGTATGCCTAGAGTGACGTATGCCTATGGTAACAGGGTGCTGTTGTACAAAACAACCTTAGCGATACGACGGTCGTAAGTCTATGTTAAAGTATGGGAGTAACGATCATCTTAGTGCTACGGCGGTCGTAAGTCTATGTAAAGGTATGGGCGTTACGATCATCTTAGTGCTACGGCGGTCGTAAGTCTATGTTAAGGTATGGGAGTTACAATCATCATAGTGCTAAGATCGCTTTGTACAACGGCACCCTGGTCGATATTTACCTGCATCAACATACACACAGATGTGATAGATATGTACATAGCTTACCTCAGAACACTGCACTGATAATATCCAGACAGTTTAATAGACAGAGATTTGTTACATAATGTTTGACTCGGGTTAGATTCCCCCACATGGACACAAAATGTGGAGCCCGTTTATTGGTGCCAGTCCACTACTATCGCTCATGGAGTGAGGTTACGTGTTAATGACGTTCGCGAAGGTTGTATATGCGACATTCAGGTGGAGACATGTATGTACTCTAGCTGTATATTTGAGGGGAAACATATAACAGTGTATATTTATAACGTTTATCTGCATTATGTGCATTCATGGCATTCAATATATTAGTCATTCCTAATTCGAACGAGCACGCATTCGGCGTCAAGTCTAAATTTGCAAGAAGGCCACAAAAATGTATTTTTTTGTGTGCACAATTCAAACAATAAAAACACAAACTATTTTACTTGTAATTTGTCGTCCTTTAAAAGTTTCAGTTTCAAGGAGGAATGGCGAATAATATTCACATTTAAGTATAGGCGCTCGGGACCATGAATCTAATTAGTCCCGTAAAAGGGTCAATAAGTTTCGCAAAAATCCACGGATATCCTATCAGAAGCAAATATCAGCTCCGTGCGATACTGATAGTTGTGTGCTATGACGAGATGAATGGTTACTGTTTTCTATTTTACAGCAGCGAAGTGTACCGACAACCAGGCGTGTTCAGACTGCTACAACACCGGACAATGTAAAACCGGATGTCACACTGGATATTACGACCTGTTCTGTAGATCAAAATGTAACACGGCTTGCAAGAATAATGCGTGTAAGGGGAATGGGGATGGCATTGAGGTATGCACTGACGGTTGTATACCTGGTTATGATGGCAAAAACTGCAACATTAAATGTGAGAATAATTATACATTAAACGATACGTTTTGTCTTGATATGTGCAACCAACACTGTCGTTTGAAATCCAACACAAATGACACAAGCAGATGTCTGGTCCATGGTGAAAGTGCTTCAGTGTTTTGTACATCTGAGTGTCACAACCAGAGTGGCGAGTGTCTCCATGGCTGTGTAGGAGGCTGGTATGGTCCACGGTGCTCCTCTCAGTGCAGTGCAGGTTGCAGTGGTGGAAGGTGTGATGCTGCAGGTGCGTGTGTGGACGGATGTAGACCTGGGTATTTCGGGAGAGACCGCTGCAGGAATCACACCTGTAGCTCACACAACGGGTCCTGTGTGGACGGATGCATCCCAGGGTATTATGGCGAGTCTTGTAATCACAGCTGTGAGGTTTGCCGCGAGGGGATCTGTGATCAGATGACTGGCACATGTGTCAACGGATGTGACGTCAGCGAACGTGGATGTAAACCTTCCTGTACCAGCAACTGTTCCAGGGACTATTGTCTTCATGCACAGACATGTGATACAGGTACTCCAAAATACTCAAAAAAGACAATTATCACCTCAACTAAACCTTTTGTTTCTAGCGTTTTATTAATAGATTGTGTTAGTTTGTAACCATATCTACCACCATCCGTCTACCCACTAACCCTTCCACCCACCTATCCATCTTCAACCAACTCATCTATCCATCAACCGCTCTACCCACCAACCCATCTACCCACCAAACGATCTACCCACCAACCGATCTACCCACCAATTGATCTACCCACCAATCGATCTACCCACCAACCCATCTATCCACCAACCGATCTACCCACCAACCGATCTACCCACCAACCCATCTATCCATCAACCCATCTGACTACTCAACGTCTACCCACAAACAGCCATCCTTGAACCCTTCTAACCACAACCATCTATTCACCAAAACGTCACCCACATCACCTCACCATCAGTCCATTTAACCCATTTGACCCATTACAAACATAATCTATCAAACAAACCATTTAACCACCAACCAAATCTTTCCATCAACTAATCTACCCACCAACTCATCAATTCATGTATCTGTCAACCCATCTAGCAATCAACACATGTATTAATGAAACCATCACCGACCCATCTACCCTAAGTCACCCACTCATCAACCCAATTATCAATCAACGCATCTGCCCATACACCCATCATTCATCTAATCATCAAAGCATCTGCACATATACCCATCACCCAATCTAATCATCAACGCATCTACCCATATACCCATCACCCAGTCTAATCATCAACTCATCTGCCCATTTACCCATCACCCAATCTAATCATCAACGCATCTGCCCATATACCCATCACCCAGTCTAATCATCAAGTCATCTGCACATATACCCATCACCCAGTCTAATCATCAACTCATCTGCCCATATACCCATCACCCAATCTAATCATCAACGCATCTGCCCATTTACCCATCACCCAATCTAATCAGCAACGCATCTGCCCATATACCCATCACCCAATCTAATCATCAACTCATCTGCCATATACCCATCACCCAGTCTAATCATCAACTCATCTGCACATATACCCATCACCCAATCTAATCATTAAGGCATCTGCCCATATACCCATCACCAAGTCTAATCATCAACGCATCTGCCCATATACCCATCACCCAATCTAATCATCAACTCATCTGCCCATATACCCATCACCCAATCTAATCATCAATGCATCTGCCCATACACCCATCACCCAATCTAATCATCAACGCATCTGCACATATACCCATCACCCAATCTCATCATCAAAGCATCTGCCCATACACCCATCACCCAATCTAATCATCAACGCATCTGCACATATACCCATCACCCAATCTAATCATCAACGCATCTGCCCATATACCAATAACCTAATCTAATCATCAACGCATCTGCACATATACCCATCACCCAATCTAATCATCAACTCATCTGCACATATACCCATCGCCCAATCTAATCATCAACGCATCTGCCCATATACCAATACACAATCTAATCATCAACGCATCTGCCCATATACCCATCACCCAATCTAATCATCAACGCATCTGCACATATACCCATCACCCACTCTAATCATCAACGCATCTACCCATATAACCATCACCCAATCTAATCATCAACGCATCTGCCCATATACCCATCACCCAGTCTAATCATCAACTCATCTGCACATATACCCATCACCCAATCTAATCATTTAAGGCATCTGCCCATATACCCATCACCCAGTCTCATCATCAACGCATCTGCCCATATACCCATCACCCAATCTAATCATCAACTCATCTACCCATATACCCATCACCACATCTAATCATCAACGCATCTGCCCATACACCTATCACCCAATCTAATCATCAACGCATCTGCACATATACCCATCACCCAGTCTAATCATCAAAGCGTCTGCCCATACACCCATCACCCAATCTAATCATCAACGCATCTGCACATATACCCATCACCCAATCTAATCATCAACGCATCTGCCCATATACCAATCACCTAATCTAATCATCAACGCATCTGCACATATACCCTCACCCAATCTAATCATCAACTCATCTGCACATATACCCATCACCCAATCTAATCATCAACGCATCTGCCCATATACCAATAAACAATCTAATCATCAACGCATCTTCCCATATACCCATCACCCAATCTAATCATCAACGCATCTGCCCATATACCCATCACCCAATCTAATCATCAACGCATCTGCCCATATACCCATCACCCAATCTAATCATCAACGCATCTACCCACATACGCATCACCCGATCCAATTATCTACTCATCTGCCCATACCCATCACCCAATCTAATCATCAACCAAATATCAAAAATAGCGTTGCCTTATATTGTTTAGATTCTCCGGCAGATTCCAAGTCTAATGGTGTCAACATCGGACTCCCGACCGGCTGTGTGGTGTTCATCCTTGGTGTCCTGGTGTCACACTACATTTGCTACAGGAAGGGTCTTGCTGCAAGAAGGTCAGTAATACCTGATCGTCCATTGACACGTTCATGTAAGTCACGATATATTGATACATACTGCAAAACAAACCTTAGGGATTCCAAATTAGAATAGTCCCAAAGCAACCTTGCGTGGATCGATGCTCATACCAGACACCAAATTGTCTGGACCAGATAGTTGTATTTACAGGCCAGCGTCATATAGTTGGAATATTGCTGAGTGCGGTTTGTTTAACAGAAAACACGTACTGCTCTTTCTCTGTTTTCTCAGGGCAGGACCGGGAGATGACGCGGAACAGCCTCCTTCTGTGGAGTACCAGGCGTGGCACAAGTACTATGACATAGAAGAGGAGGACATGGACGTCGGCCGGCAGATTGAAAATGGCTGCCAAGAAAAGTATGAAGAAGTGCGAGATCTTGGCATGCCGGTGATAGCTGATGTCTTCCCAGCGGCCCCGGCCATTGTACACAGAGGTGATGACACATCCTCATCCACTTTCCGATCCTGCGACCCCGAGATACAAAATGGTAACCCTGAAGAAGACCTAGATCTCGTCAAGCCGGTGATAGCAGATGTATTTCTAGCGGCGCCGGCCATTGTACACAGAGGTGATGACACCTCATCAGAGAGTTCAGCCTCATCCAATTCCCGATCCTACGACCCCGTGATGCACAAAGGTGACTGTGAAGAAGAGATTGATCTCGCCATGCCGGTGATAGCTGACGTCTTTCCAGCGGCCCCGGCCATTGTACACAGAGGTGATGAGACGTCATCAGAAAGTACAACATCGTCCAGTTCCCGGTCCTACACCCATCTAATCCCTGACGTAGTCCCCGGAGACCCGAGAACAGGTGACACTTATCTATCTCCAGTGGAAGACGTGGTCTTACCATCGGAATTGTGATATCTTATTTTATTATATAACTCTTCCTTCGGAGTAACAGCGTATTAACATCTAATGTCTTCCATGATAGGATCATTCTTCGCATTGTTGTGATGTCAAACCCATGTTACGTGAACAAACATACTGAGCAAATAAACACAATGCAGTTTTCACATATATTTTTGTTTGTTTGTTATTCATGCCGCACTCAGCAATATTCTAGCTATATGACGGCCATATGTAAATAATAGAGTGGTTGACATCTTAAGTGCACCGATCTGCGCAATTGGGATACGATGACATGCATCAACCAAGTCAGCGAGCCTGACCACCCGATCCCGCTAGTCACTCCTCACGACAAGCATGGGTTGCTGAAGATCAATTCTAACCCAGATCTTTGCCGGGTCAAAATACATAGGTACATTGGGATGGTTTAAGTATTTTCATAGTGGATATTATTTAACCTCTACGACTCACTGCTGAGGATGAAAGACGTACACAAGAATAAAACTCTTATCAAGACGTCTGTGTAACGCCCTGGACCAACACGGCGTAGTCACTGCTTTCAGTGTCAGTTGTTAAAGCACATGTTAATTAAACCGCCAGTATAACGAGGGTGATTTATGTACATTAATTACCACAAGAGACAACATCCGTGTTCACTTTCATAACTGCAAAATATTGCAGTATAGTATAGAATAATTATAAACAACCACATTGGATGACTATCCAACCTTTTGAGTGAGTGAGTGAGTGAGTGGGTGGGTGGGTGGGTGGATGGGTGGGTGGGTGGGTGGGTGAGTGGGTGAGTGAGTGAGTGAGTGAGTGAGTGAGTGAGTGAGTCTGTAAATAATCATTTCAGATCAGAAAAATCAGCTACTGGGTGCATGAGCATTAACTTCCTCCATGGGGACACGTTGTCACAATCAGGCGCCGCATCTTTCCACTACATCATATTCAGAAGGTTTTCATCATAAACATTGGCTGTGCCCACGGGGGGTAGAGTATTTGTCAAATACAGTTTTGATCCAATGAATGAATATTAATGTTGATTTGGTTATTACCGTCTTGACCGAGAGAAATCGAAACTAAACACTTTTCAAATAAATTACACACATCAGAGCGGCTGTCAAAGCTCATTTCTCGACTATTTTCCGCAAATAAACTGAGGGGTTCACAACGCTGCCGGTTTCAGATATCAAATGCACAACATATTCAGGACGATATTATTAAGCGTGCGTTGGACGCCCCCAACTTGACATTCTGTGCTTGGGGGATCACGCCGCTCTGTTTCAGACAGATCCCGGGAGATACCAGCATTGCTTAACAAGCGTGAGTGCAGCTCAATGCTCAATCATTATGACGTATATCTACACAGTATCGGACGCACCCACCAACTCGTTTATGGACGCATCTAACCATAAACACATCTAGCCAAACAACGCACCCCAACCTTCCCATCAACCATCCAACCTGTCTAGTCACCAACACATCTATCAAACAACCCACCAACTCAACAACCTATCAGCCAAACATCCAATCTACCCACCAACTCATCTATTCACAATCGCATCTATTCATCAAACCATCTAACCATCAACCCATCTATTCACTAACTCATCTACTCATCAACCCATCAACCATGAAACCTATCTAGCCACCAGCTCATCTATCCATCAATTAACCCACCAACTCACCAACCCATCTATTCACAAACCCAACTTTCCATGAACACACCAATCCATCTACCCACCAACCCATTGAGCAACCCACCATCTACCCGCCAATCCATCTACCCAACACTCCCTCTGCCAACCAACCCATCTATCCACCAACCCATCTATCCACCAACCCATCTGCAAACCAACCCATCTACCCACAATCCTGTCAACCAACCAACCCGTCTACCAACCAACCCCTCTATCCACCAACCCATCTACCCACAACCCATCTATCGACCCACCCTTCTACCCAACAACCAATCTATCAACCAACCCCTCTACCTAGCAACCCATCTATCAACCAACCCCTCTACCCACAACACATCTATCCACTATCCCGTGTGCCAACCAACCCATCTAACCACCAACCCATCTAACCACAAACCCCTCTATCCACCAACCCGTCTGCCAACCAACCCATCTATCCACCAACCCATCTAACCATCAACCCCTCTATCCACCAACCCATCTACCCACCAACCCCTCTATCCACCAACCCATCTACCAACCAACCCCTCTACCCACCAACCCATCTACCCACCAACCCCTCTATCCACCAACCCATCTAACAACCAACCCCTCTATCCACCAACCCATCTACCAACCAACCCCTCTATCCACCAACCCATCTACCAACTAACCCATCTATCCACCAACCTCTCTACCCAACAACCCCTTTACCCACCAACCCATCTACCAACTAACCCATCTACCCACCAACCCCTCTATCCACCAACCCATCTACCCACCAACCCCTCTACCCACCAACCCACCAACTCATCTACAAACCAACCCATCTACCCACCAGCCAATCTACAAACCAACCCATCTACAAACCAACTCATCTACCCACCAACCCATCTACCAACCAGCCCCTCTATCCACCAACCCATCTACCCACCAACCCCTCTATCCACCAACCCATCTACCCACCAACCCCTCTACCCACCAACCCACCAACTCATCTACAAACCAACCCATCTACCCACCAGCCAATCTACAAACCAACCCATCTACAAACCAACTCATCTACCCACCAACCCATCTACCAACCAGCCCCTCTATCCACCAGCCCATCTACCCACCAACCTATCTAACAACCAACCCCTCTACCCACCAACCCATCTACCAACTAACCCATCTACCCACCAACCCATCTACCCACCAACCAATCTACCAACTAACCCATCTACCCATCAACCCCTCTACCCACCAACCCATCTATCCACCAACCCATCTACCCACCAACCCATCTACCCACCAACCCATCTACCCACCAACCTATCTAACAACCACCCCCTCTACCCACCAACCCATCTACCAACCAACCCATCTACCCACCAACCCATCTACCCACCAACCAATCTACCAACTAACCCATCTACCCATCAACCCCTCTACCCACCAACCCATCTATCCACCAACCCATCTATCCTCCAACCCATCTATCCACCAACCCATCTACCCACCAACCCATCTACCCACCAACCCCTCTACCCACCAACCCCTCTACCCACCAACCAATCTACCAACTAACCCATCTACCCACCAACCCCTCTACCCACCAACCTATCTATCCTCCAACCCATCTAACCACCAACACATTTACCCACCAACCCATCTACCCACCAACCCATCTACCAACTAACCCATCTATCCACCAACCCATCTACCCACCAACCCATCTACCAACTAACCCATCTACCCATCAACCCCCCTACCCACCAACCCATCTACCTACCAACCCATCTACCCACCAACCCATCTACCCACCAACCCATCTACCCACCAACTCATCTACCCACCAACCCATCTACCCACCAACTCATCTACCCACCAACCCATCTACCCATCATCCCTGTTGCTGTGATTCTTCAGCAGATTCCAAGTCTAATGATGTCAACGTCGGCCCCCAACCGGCTGTGTGGTGTTCATCCTTGGTGTCCTGGTGTCACACTTCATCTGCTACAGGAAGGATCTTGCTGCAAGGAGGTTGGCATCATATAATCCTGTCATTCTTCCAAACTGGTATTTTTAGAATTTATATATCAAGATATTTTGTGTGAACAAGTGAGGTAGTTCTATGCGTATACATCTTCTTATTACGGTCAAGGAGACGGTTCGGTGTAGATACAAACATTGTTATCTAGCAAGTGATCACCACTCGTCTGCTGTGAGTTGCTCGTAACAAGGGAGATAACCCGCCCAGACCACACACATCGCATTACAAACTTCGTGTATTTGGGTATTCAGGTGATCATTTGCAGGTTCGAGTCAACCACCAAACCTAATTGTTGCATTTCGTTCTGCTCGCTACCATATACTGATCCTAAGAGGGGCGGTGGGGTAGCCTTGTGGTTTAAGCGTTCGCTCGTCACGCCGAAGACCCGGGTTCGATTCCCCACATTGGTACAATGTGTGAAGCCCATTTCTGGTGTCCCCGGCCCTGATATTGCTGGAACATTGCTAAAAACGGCGTAAAACCATGCTTGCTCACTCACTCACTCACTCACTCACTTTCTGTATCACTATGGTATATGAGTCTACACATTAAGTTTTTCGTTTTAATTAAATGACATTGCAATCGTATAACTGGTTTTATGTAATTTTTGTTATCTATTGATTTTTGTGTACACTTTTACTGATACTATGCAAGTTGAACCAGTGTGCAAATGAACCCAGAGTCAGTGTATAGAGAATCTCACCCAAGTGACTTCCATTAGTCAACATATCAACAGGAGACATTAAAAGTTTAAAACTCTGAGACTTGCAGAGGACTTTTATTGAACTTTTATTGACAAGTGTCGATATATTTCCAAAGACTCAATGGTGAGATTCTATTTCCATCCAAAATCTTTCTATTGCCGGAGTATTGCTGAAAGCGGCGTAAAACCATACTCACTCAAAAGGAAACTTTATGGATCATTTATTCCAGCTCGCCGCCGTCGTGGATTATATAGCTTGAATATTGCTGAGTGTTGAGTAACACGCTCACACGCACGTGGATCTGCTTTTGTCCACATCAACAGCAGAGCTGGCAGGTTTGCTCGTGTGCCAGTCGCTTGTGTGTTCATTAACCAACGTGTACTATGTCCCAGAGGACATTGATTCTCTCGTTTCGAGTTGCGCGCCTCACGTTCAAAACCGCGTTGTTCACATCGCTTTTTTTATTCGTTTTGTTTAGCAGTAATACAGGCACACTTTCTCGTTTGTCACAGGGAGAACCTAACAGCTGACGTGGAACAGGTGGTTAAAGTGTTCGCTCGTCACGCCGAAGACCCGGGTTCGATTCCCGACATGGGTACAATGTGTGAAGCGCATTTCTGGTGTCCCCCGCCGTGATATTGCAAAAAGCGGCGTAAAACCACACTCACGCACTCACTCACTCTCTTTTGTCACTGGGAGAACCTAACAGCTGACGCGGAACATGCTGTGGAGTACCAGTCGAGGCACAAGTACTATGAAATAGTAGAGGATGACACAGACGCTGCTCCACAGACTCAGAAACTCGTCATGCCGGTGATAGCTGATGTCTTCCCAGCAGCGCCGGCCATCGTACACAGAGGTGATGACACGTCATCAGAAAGTACAACATCGTCCACTTCTCGGTCCTACACCCATCTGATCCGTGACGTAGTCACCGGAGACCCGAGAACAGGTGACACTTATCTATCACCAGTGGAAGACGTCGCCCCACCATCGGAATTGTGATGTCTCATATAATGTCAGTATGGTCCTTTGTTCAGAGCGCGTGGTCCTGCTATTAAATTTTGTTTTCAAAGTAGCCCTTTGTTCAGCGCTATAACACAATATATACTGAACAACAAAAGTTCCTGTGACATTGAATAAGATTTAATGCAAAGTTATGTTTTTTACCAAATCTGAAACAATTTCGGTTTGCAACAGATAAAAGACTCCTGTAGGAGTTCAAATAGTTTAATTTGCCATACTGACTTCAGAAAATGCGTGATTTCATAAAAACAAACCATGAACATGCCAAAATGTCAATTTACAAATCAATAGCGTGTGTGTCCACCTCTGGTTGTGATGCAAGCAACACATCTTCGTCTCATGGAATGGACGAGGCGTCCTGTGGGATATCTGTCCATATCTGCTGAAGCATGTTTTGAATTTCCAGGAGTGTCAGTGGAACACGTGGTTGACGTCGAAGGCGCCGATCCATCTCATCCCGCATGTGCTCGATTGGTGAGAGATCAGGGGAGCGAGCCGGTCAGGGGATGACATTCGCGTTGTTTTGTTGAAGAGAATCTTGAACAAGTCGAGCAATATGAGGCCGGGCCTTGTCATGTTGAAAGGTAATGCCTGGGCCATGACGACGCAAAAACGGTAGAACAACAGGGCCGATGCTTCTTGCAGTCACTGTTGCTGGCTGGAATCGATTTCGAAGGTGTGTTGTTCGAATCCAGTTGTCTTGTCGATTATTGGTTGCGAGTGGCCTGCCACTCCGAGGATGGTCTCTGACTGCATTCGTCTGTTGCCAACGTTGCCATAAATACCAAATGGTGTTTCTGTGGACGTTAAATTGTCTTGCAATATCACGTTGACTCGATCCTGCTTCAAGCATACCAATACCAATGGCTCGCAGACGCTCATTTTTGGACAGGCGTGGCATTTGGTAATGTTGAATAATTGCGTAATTGTGTTGTTTTTCTGAGTGGTTGTTGTCAGCACGATGCTAAACAATGCATATGGAATCCCGTTAACGCAAATGTTTTTAAACCCATTCTTGGGTAGTGAAATGCATGGGGCATGCATAAAAGTCATTTTTTGCATGGAATGCATACTTTTCTGTAGCAGTTGCATTTTTGTGACTTGATTCCATACATGTACTACAATATTGAAAACCAAACTTTACTTGTTTGAAAGTACACTAAAATATTGGTGTCACAGGAACTTTTGTTGTTGAGTATATATTTGCATGGTTCATGGGGGTTCTATAGGAGATCGCTCACGTGAACCTGAAGAGGAGTCACCACGTGCACTCTTGGAAGATGGAGTAACATCCATCTCGAGGGGATCAAAGAAATTATGAACATCTACAGATGTTTCAGTGAGAGTAGGGATCTTAGTTGTAATTTTCTTGTTTTGTTTTTTTCTTTCTTGGGAAATTTCAGTTGATGGTTTTATACTTGCTGGTTTTTCAGGAGTTGGTTTAGTTGGGGCCGTAGCCTGAGTCACAACCTGAGATGCTGAAGAGATGCCGCATGATTGATTATCTGAATCATTTGTCTGACTCTCTGATATTGTAACCATAGGCACAGGGTGTTCAGAGTATTCATGTCAAGTCGGTTTGGCATTCTATAGATCTTGTGGTAGAAGGTCGAGAGACAGCAGCAGCATAGGTTTGCACTGACGGAGGTGACCGGCTGGCAATGACATTTTTAGTCTCCTGAAAGAAATGTTGTTTTGACATTTGACTGTTAAGACATCTTTTTCCTATTGCCAAAGAGGACAGGATTTCGAAGACACAACATGTTTACCCATACAATTAGCACAGTTGGGGTCAGCTGTACAATCTGAGGCGTCATGTTTTCCACCACAACGGTGACAAACAATCAGCTGATCGCATGATAACATCGGAGTGGATTGGGGACATACACCTCCACCCCGATGTTAAAATAGCCTGCCTTTATAGATAGCGGTATGGTCGACAGTGAAAATGTGAACAAATAAGTATTTGTTGGGACAATGTTTTCTTGATTCGACAACTAGAAACCGCGCCCGGGAATGTGAAGTTTGTCGTACAGAAACATCATCATCAGATGATAAAATCTCAGCTTCGAGACGTATCTTCTTTTCATTGCGGTTTGAACCAGAATGATTGTGAGCCATGATGAAAGTAATTTATTCAGCACCCCTGCTCCCCACCCACCATGGGGTGCTACAAAGAGCGATGTTTTCCTGCACCGGATCTCCAACATGCAAACATCAGGGATACAGAGGTGGTATACTCCAGTAAGAACAACATGAATAGCTGTATTTGTCTATCAAAAAGAATGACATGAAATTGAAGACATACAGAACTCAGAGGTCGAAATTGAGTGAGTTAGTGAGTTGTGTTTAACGCCGCTTTTAACAGTATTCCAGTTATATCGTGGCGAGTCAGCTTAATGTGGGAGGAAAGACCGAAGTGATGCAGGTCTCAGACGTTTACCACGTCGGTGAAACCTACGAGCACAGGTATGGTGCTGACAAACCTAGAAACATAATCGGGGCGAACTCTGCACAGCGAATCGCGGCGCCTTAGATGTCTGGGCCACCCGTGCCCCCCCAGAGGTCAAAAGTACCAGAATGGCCCATGAGCCACCGCCTTCTGGCATAGGACTCTAGGCAAGTTGATATCATAGAATTTTCATTTAAAACATGCATACCCAATATTCACATCAATCAAAATATTCCAATATGAGCGTGTTTCATACACAGGGCATGGCGTGACCAGCCGATTGATAGAATCGGGCCCATTCTACCACCCGGCGAAGTAAGGGTCGAAGTGGTGTGTTGGGCAAAAGGAACACCGGTTCCTGGCTCCAGTGCCCTCAACCACCAGAATCCCGTTCTCCGCCGTCACAGGGGCGCAACCAACGGCAAACGGGTTGCCCAATTAGGTCGCCTTTAACGACCAGCAATGGGGTGCTGAGGGCACATTCTACCCCTGGTCCACACGGGGGAAGAGCTCTTAGCGCTACCCAGCACTCACCACGAGTGCCTTGAGCACCTGAAGCACGAGATTCAAAGACGGCTGAATGACGTCCGAACAAGGCCGACAACTGCAGCTGAACTGCGCCAGACGTTCCTCAGAGTGTGGGCACAAGTGCCTATGGCCTTCATCAACCGCCTTATCCATTACATGTATCGACGTTGCATGGCAGTCATCAATGCACATGGCGGACACACGAGATACTGACTTGTGATGCCATTTTCTCAGAGACTAGTGTTGTGTTTCACTTTAAGAACATTTGACACTTTAATTTCAACCTTAATGATTAGTTTTGCCAAGTTTCATCTTTTTAATATGTCTCAAAGTACGTTTACAGTGTTTGGACAGCACAACACTATAGTGGCAAAAGTGGTTTTTCACGTGCAACTGGTCACATAATACCGCACGTTACTTGTTAGCAGTCATTAAAAAACAAAAAACAAACTACTGTTTATGATTTACAGACGCGTCTACAGCAAACGGGTACCACCGCTGATCGCCCTCGGCCAGGTCGACCACGTGTAACGTCACATGCAGAGGATCGTCAGATTGTCTTACGTCACCTCCGTCACCGATTTTTGACGGCTACATCAACCAGAAATGAACTGTTTAGGGGTAGACTGAGTGCGCAAACTGTTCGAAACCGTTTGAGAACTGCTCACCTTCAAGCACGACGGCCATACTGCGGGCCGATTCTGACTCAATTACACAGACGTCAACGTCAATTGTGGGCACAGCAACACTTACGATGGACTCAGAGGAATTGGAATCAAGTCGTCTTCAGTGATGAATCCCGATTTAATCTTCGATTTGCTGATGGTAGGGCGAGGGTGTGGAGGCGCCGTCATGAACGTTACGCCCAGTGTTGTGTATAGGAAGTAGACAGATTTCTAAGGCGGGAGTGTCATGGTGTGGGGTGCTTTCTGTGGCAATGCACGTTCCAGGCTTCTTGTCATCCGTGGCAACCTCAACGCTGCTGCTTACCGCGACCAGGTACTGGCACCAGAACTTCTGCCTTTTATGGTAGCACATGGACCCGGTTTGATCTTCCAACACGACAATGCCAGACCCCACACAGCAATTTTGACAAGGAATTTCCTTCAGAATGCGGGAGTCAACATCATGGACTAGCCGTCAAGGTCTCCTGACCTCAATCCCATCGAACACGTCTGGGATGCTCTTGGCAGAAGTCTGCGCACTCTCCAGAACCAACCACAGAATTTGCAAGGTCTTGCCACCATTTTGTAGCAACAATGGCGTCGTCTTCCCAATTGAAGAATGTCACTATATGATGGAGAGGTCGTCACGCTTCTGTGTTTGGGGATGGCAAATATCCTGTATTAGGAATGAACACTATGTATTTAGATCGGCAAGGCACGCTATATACAATGTTTATTCCTAATACAGGATATTTACCATTCCCAGACACACTCGCGTGATAATCTCTATAGATAAAATTGTGGAGAATACCAATAATGAGCCCTTTTCCAGTTATCTAACCACCGCTTGGAAATTGTCCGTCCATTGGGTGCTCAAAGGTCGCAATCGTACGATTAGTCCAATCGCTGCTTAATCCCAAATGATCGTCCTTTTTTTAACGACGCTGTGTTTTTCCAACTGGTAGTTAAACCTGGTGAAAGAGAAGAGAAATCCATTTTGACGCGCTTAGGTCACGTTCTAGTTAGGTCTTCCTGCCTCTGGTGTCGCTTGATGTCTTCCTTTAAAGCGGAAGAATATGCCCCACGGTCTGGGTCTAAACGTTGAAGCCAGTCACATGAAATCATAGCTGTTTCACGATATGTATCATAGAATTGTGGTCGCAGACAAACGATGAACACTAGTGAAAGGCATCTGCAGCTTCGTTTAAATAAATTCCATCAATGGTCTTCAGAAAATTGATTTTCATTTTCGTAATCAAAAACAAACTGTATTCCATTTTA